GGAATTGAAGTGATTCTTCAGCTGCCTAAGAGCCTACAAATAGTTAATGTCATGTAGTTAGTGTGGGCTGTGCTTTGAGCCAGCGTCTGGTTTGGCCTCATAAACCAGTGTAGAGCAGTGGTGCTTCTGCATGTGGTGCAGAGAACCAGCTGGTGGTTCTTTGGACCACATCATTGTGTCTTATGGATTCCTTTCTGGATGGGTTTTGGAGCAAGTCACGAGGAATATGAAGTGTCCATTTGTGAAGGTAGGGAACGCTTTGGGGAGGCCTGTGGGAGCAGTACCCTTTCTGATGGCCCTCATGTTTCAGGGAACCTGACAGTTTTTTCTTTAAAAAAGAAAATCTTACCACATTGGGAAAAAAAATTATTATTATTTTCCAAAGAATTAATGTTTAGACCACTTGAAATTATTGACTTCCATACTTGTGTGAGGTTTTCCTGTGAAAGTCATCAAACGCTGCATCTCTCAAATGGCCTTTTCTTCCTCCATGGTAGCAAAGGTGTGTATGCATCTTACCCAAATGCTCTTCCAGACAGAGCAGGCTATCTGGCACAATCTAGGAATATAGGTGGATTAAGACTCAAGTCTGTCATTGAATTGTTCAAGGTGCAGTAAAACAGTGGCCTGTGCTGATGGCAGAGGAGCTTCCTGGTTGCATCCCTGGGATCTGAGCTTCCTGTTACAGACACCTTGTAATAACTTTAACCTACTTAATGCTTTTAGGAATAAATGTTTATTCATTGCTGGTGTTTGGTTTTTGAATAAAGTTGTCTTATGACAAAAGCACTGAGTGGTCTTTTGTTAAAGAGGTTCTGAAAGTTATGTGCCAGAGGAAGTGTGGTGAAAGTGAGATTAGTGTGTGTATATACAAACTAATACTGCAATTCCATGTAGAATGTCCTGAAAGGAGTTCAGTGGGACAAGATCTCATGAGTGCCATGAAACTCCAAAGGAGTCTTCAGGTCAGATTGGCTTAATTCATCCAGCTTCCACAATTTTCTTTTCGCGTTCTTTCTCAATCTCTAGTGTTGCATTGACGCAGGGAAATGCAGTGTGTGAGGATGCCCTGGGAGGTGTTGTGTAATTCTGCTCCTAGAATTGTAGCTTCCTCTGTCATCATTTGGGTGACAGGAAGGGCTAGATGAAAGAAAAACACTGTGAGATGAGGGGGAAAGGAAGATGATCGGGTGTTCTGAAAGGGTGAGTAGAACCTTTGGGGCTTTGAATAACAACCTCCCTGTTCTACTTGTTTGCTACTGTTGTTTTAGAAAGGAATTAAAAAGGGAGAGAGAATTGACTCATGTCAAAAGGACATGGAGGGTGTTAGTGGAAAAATGAGGGAGTGTGAGGAACAAACTATTCCCCTTGTGCTGTTCTGCCATTGCCAGTGAAAACTCCTGCTGGCTGGTCTCAGTCTTGCTCACTTGCTGTTCTCTGTTCCATCACTTGCAGTGTAGCTACTATTCATATAGTAACCAAAAAGTTATAGTAGTTATCTTTTCACTTATTTCCTCCCAGTGTAGATGGTATTCCTGTAGCTTAGAATTTCCACAAATCTAGCACAGTTTCCACCAGTTCAGGCCCTGGGTCAGGATTGTGTGTCTTGTGAGCTTCCATGTGTGATCTCTAGATTCGGATCCATCCTCATGGATCTCTCCACAGTTCAGACTGGTCTGTGCAGCAGTTCCATCCTTCTGGGTAGTGTTACCTGTGTGTTGTGCAAGCAGAACTAAGGAATACAAAGCCACAAGATCAGGTCTTGGTTTCAGGCATGCTGCAGGGTTTTAGCATTGCTTTGAGATCCATGAAGAATGATGACACAACTTGCTATTCACAAACACTTTTTCCTAATAGTCTCCTAATTGTTGGAATATACTGTAGCCCCGTGTAAGAATAAACAACAGTGGAATTTTTACATCAATTGTGGAGAAATTGACTTTTAAAGCCAGGTTAATTTTTTCTTTATTAGCACTAGTGATTAAGTAGTCAGTCTCTGCAGTTCCTATACTGGCTTCATTCTCGGTAATCTTCTATCTTTCATCATATTTAAGTGCTTTTTCAAGCTGGAAATTATTTAAACTGGAGAAGTTAGGGAAGACACATGGTCTGGAAGTGCAGTGTTCTTTCTTCTCCGTCTGTGATTTAAAGTGTTCTGTAAGGAAGGCAGGAGCCTTGTGCTCCCTGGCCTCAGGACAGCGGTGCTCAGGGTCACAGTCCTGATGCTCAGCTGCTCTGTGGTCTCTTGGCCTCAGTGTGGCTGCATCACCCCAGGGGCAGGGGGCTGAGAATGTGCTGAGGAACAGGAGCAAAGTACTGCTAAGAACAGGGTTAAATAAGCAGGGGGGAAAGAAAGCTAATTTGTACTAGGATGCGTATATAAGGGAAGAGTAAGAACAGCCTATAGACAAAATGCATGCTAAAGCTAAGCAGAAAATGAACAAAAGCAACAGCCTGTTGGGTGTGTGGTGTGGTGCAAGAGGAAATGGAGGCACTGGGGAGCTAGGTTTGGTGGGAACAGAGTGCAGAACGTTAAACAGAAATGGAGAACTTCTACCAGAAGCCACACTTGCATAACATTATGGTTGTGACATTGCACAGCCAAAGAAGAACTGCTGAAATACTGCAGAGGAGTGGGAGGTGGGGGATACCTGCAGAATTGTCACTTCACTTGATACATGTGAGATCATACCTTTTTTGTTCCTGCTAGATGCATCCTTTCAGTGAAGAAACCAAAGCGACACCTGTCCTATCTTAATAAACATTGATTGAAAGTTAAGTTTTTTCACAACTATCTGTCACTATTTTGTTTAAATAAATATGAAGAACCACCCTGTCATAGACAGAAATAATACCATTGGAGGTCATGTAGTCCTACACCCAGCTCAGAGCAGGGCCAGCAGTGGAGCTGGATCAGGTTGCCCAAGGGTCAGTCAGTTGGGTATCTCTCCAAGGGTGAGAATTTGAGAGTTTTGTTGCACTGTTCAGAATGTTTTACCTTTCCTTATGTCACTTGTTTCTCACTATTACTGTGTGATTGCTATTTCATCCACCTCCTCTGCTTCTGTGTAGAGCCACTCAAGAGGAAAAGAAAAAAGAGCTGTGTGAATGTACACATCACCCATTTTGTTTACATAATGGCCAAGATCCTGAAACAGCCAACAGAGCAAGATCCTGGGAGGATGGTTTACAGTGAAAGCCCAGGTGTTGCAGTTCAGGTCACCTTAAGCACCAGAGCCAGATAGCAGGGCTGCTTCTTACTAACTTCACTAACACTAATTTTCAGTGTGCTTATCCTTATGTACCACCATCTGTGCTTAACAAATCCCAAACAAATGAGCCAGCTATGAGCACGTGTGGCAGTCTAAGAAGAAGGATGATGTGACACCTCTCCCTTACTGGACGCATCAGGCTTTGTAGGACTTATGAAGGAAGTAGCTGCGCTCCCCTATCTTGGAGGCTTTGCTTTCTGTAGTGGATCAGCCATGCAGAGGAAGGGTGAGGACTCACCGCTGTGGGATTGGATCACCTTTTATGTGCAGTAGCAAACTTAGATTTGCTTTGTGTTAATTAAGCAGGTACACCCCAGTGCCTGGGGTTGTTCCTCCCTGCAGTGTTTTTGAGGTGGTGGTAACCTCATAGTAATGCTTTTTACTTACAGCCCCTTTTTTCCCCTTTACATTTTGGCACGAGCAGTTGACTTTAGGAAGCGATAACATTTGAGGTCCTTATCTGTGCCTTGCAGCCTTGCAGGAGGAATGCTAACGAGCATGTCACTGCCTTCTGAATGCTGGCACAAATGAGGTGGAATTATTAACACTTACATTGGAACAGTTTCTCCTGTTTCTAAGCTTTCCTACAAAACTCTTGAGACCAAGTGGTTTCTTGCAAACCTCATTAAATTCAATAAAAAGTGTGTTGCAGATCTTGTGCATTTTTTTTCTTGGACCTAAAGTATACAAAATACATCCACATCCTGCTGCTCTAAATGTCTTGCCTATTTAAAAGCATGGATGTGGCCAGAAATGCCTCTCTGAAGAGACATTCATGAGTTGCATGGTTTGCCTCCATAGCTTTTTTTTGTTTAAGGAACTTAAGTATTCCCAACAAAGGTGACTTTGTGCAGCCCAGCAGTTGTAGGGTTGAACTTGTTGTAGGATCAGCCTGATAACTGAGAGTATGACAGTGTCCTTTTTGCTTCCTGAGCCATGGTTAATTAGCAGGCAGGAATTGCAATTTAGGTTGCTGGTTGTGAGCTACAGGAGTTGACACCTTTTGCAGGCAGCCAAGCAATGCTTTTAGAGATTATCACATAAAATTATTGGTCCTGATGAGCTGTAGTTTTTCACAGCTGGTTACAGGGGAGCAGTCTTTCAGTGCTTTGGTTGCTCACATGCATTAGGAATTGGTTGGCCTTTGTCTGGAACTCTTAGGGTCAGAATGTGTTTGTGTAGAGCTCTGCATCCCATGTTACTCACAGTTTGGATGTGGTGGAAGAGCTCTGAATCCCTGCTGAGGTGACTGTGTGTGAGTGAAGCACATCCAGTATTTAAAGCTTTTTGGACAAATGTATATTTGCCCGTTAATGCTTAAATTTATTTTATTTCTTTTTAGGAAGTCATTGTTCTTGCAGCAAGTGTGGAATGTCATAAATTATAGGGCTTCTTGTAATGACTGCAGTTACATGAGCATTGCTGGTCACCTTGGTGTTTTTGTAGCTTTGCCCACAAGAACCTGGACAGTAACCACACTATGGAGGTCTTTGGGGTGAAGGGACACTAACTTCAGTGTAAAATTAAATCACTTTTAATAATCTTTACAAAAACGATTGGATCTCTTACAAGAGAGCTTCCTAGTGACTCATGTTTCCATGTAATTCATTTGCGGTGGTGGTTTGCTACGAGTTTAGCTGCTAAGTTTCTTGTATAAGCTGCTGACAATTTAAGATTGCTGTTTCAGTTGAAGGTTTCTGTGTTAAAGTAGCATCTTTTTATTTGCAGTTGCCAATGTGAAGTATTGGAAGAGTAACGTCTGAAACTGTCTGGGGCAAAGAGGACTTTTATTATCTCTTCTTTGGTAAGCTGATCGTATTGTTTTGGTAAGACAGGCTACCTGTTGACTGTTACTGATTATTCTCCAAGTGAAAACATTTTCTAAGATGCTAGATAAGCATATATGTACTTTGCTGAGTAGGTATTTACAATGTGCAATTAAAAGAAATAATAATAACTCCTCTAGATTTACTGAATATCTTCAAATATGATTCTTTGTCTGCCTCTCCTTTCCTGAGTGACGTCTAAACATCCATGTTATTAGTTACTGCACCAGTAAATACTTTGCAAAGCTACTCAGTTACTTCTGTGTGCAGTGCCAGGAAAGAGGTGAAGTCCTGCTGCCGGGGGTTGAAATGTGGGAAGGTAAGCATTTGCCCTTATCTCAGATAATTTTCTTCCTCCTCCTGTGAAAAGGAAGGAATGTTTCCACTTTGTAAACAGAGGCATCTTTTGCCAAAGTCAGATCACATTCTTGAATATTTCATCCTCCAATTTTCTAATGCTTCTTTATCAAAACCTTTGCATTTTCCATCTGGAACTTTGGGAGGACAGCTGTGACACAGCGAGTAAATAGCTCTGGCTTGGGACTGAGTGTCGACTCAATTTCATTTATAGGAAAATAAATAGAATTCAGTATCTGGAAGCTGACATCTAGGGAAGAAAGTTACTTGCTTTGTACTAATTTTTTTCTGATTTTCCTTGCTATTATATGTTAGTCAAACTATATTTAAATACATGCTGATGTAAATGTTCCTTCTTTATTTCATCTTCTTGTTTCGAATTGCTGGCAAACACATGATTATTGCTAGTACTAATTATGTATACAATTTACACCAGAGGCATGTCTTAATGAGAGGTAATGAAGATGTTCCCATTCTGGTTGGATAATCAGAGGTTGCACCCTTTACCAATCATTTATCCTTTCAAGAGGAACATGAGGATGGAGGATTAACCAGAATTTTGACCCCTGTTTGTTGTGATGTGACTCTCCAGTTCTGCACTACATACATTGATAACTTCATCAACTTTTTTGGCTGTGATCTTTAAATTGTTGTATCTGACAATAAAAACAAATCTTAGTACACTGTTTATAAACTAATATTTGTATGTGATCCTACATATAATTGGAAGCCTGAATCCAAAGGTGCCTATAATGAAGTTGTTTTTGTGGTTGGTTAGTGTCTAAGATGGATTTGAACATTTCCATTTCGTTTTTGGAATTTCTTCCTTTCCCTTTTGCTCAGTCCTGTGATCATGAGATCAGGAAGTACTGGGATTGGTTTGCTGACATGATGGGAAAGGTATTGTTTCATTTAGAATATTCAGTTTCCATCCAATCAATGAAATCCATTCTAATAAGCCAGTACTTCTTGCTGGTTTTGTCAGCAGTTTTTGTAAATACAGCACTCTGCTTGCTGAAGCTTTGCACTAACACCTCGAAGCAGTGTGAATGTGCAGCCTGTGTTCATCTTACAAACAGATTTATAAGTTCTTGTACCATTTATCTTGGCAGCATCAGAGTTTATTTCTGATAATCCTGATTAAAGCTGAAACCAACCTTTTTTTTTCCGCACTGCTTTCCCAAAATTCACCTAAAAAGGTCTGATTCTGCATACACATGTGAAACCACCCTACCATGAATAGAAGCTGTTTGCAGCTGAGTGCAGTAATTAGAATAAGAAACTTGTTCTGTTGTAATTTGAATAGTCCCTGCCTGTTCATGATGGACTTCAGGGTCACAGCTGTATGAAGGAGTTCTTTCTCTAGGCCACCCTGAACACTTACATGGTTATGCAGTTAACTTCTAAAATAATTGTATCTAATCAAATGGAGGTGTAAAAGAACAACTTTGTTTACATCAGAGTGTCTAGTATGCTAAACCTTTTGATCAGTGATATTCAGCAGATGTTAAATTTGTAATCATGTTCATCTTTTTAATTAGATTCCTTTGCTAATTGTACTTGCAGGAATTTCTTGAATTCCTATTTTATTATAATCAGAAGGCTTTATTAATAATGCTTAAAGCTTTCTTGAAGTTATACTTCTATTGTCTGGATGGATCCATCTGCAAATGTTGGTTTTTAATGACTTCAGCAATGGCTGCTGTTCTGGAGAAGTCCTCATTATTCTTCCAGCAGGCTGTAGAGCTGGCAGCTGGATGTGTAAGCTTATTATTTTAAGGTTGAGAAGGAGATATGTTTAAATCTTAGCTCTAAACCCATCTTCTACATCATTAGTCTTCGTTATATGAGGAGAATGAACTCTGAAGTTACTGCAGTCTATGCCTGTGACTTAGCCACCATCATTTTATGTCTGATGGAGCAGGAGGCTCATTTCTGACAGCACGAAGCTCAAGGACAGTGCTGCATCACATAATGTGAGAGAACCAAAGGCTCAAAGGTGAAACCAGATGTGGCTGAAGGAGTGGCTCAGCCCCTCCTTTTGTGGTATCTTCGAGTCACGAGTAGATGTTTTTTTGGGAGATAAGCTTAGCAAAGCATAACATATGTAAAGTACCACGTCATGTTGGAGCTGAGCACAAGCACTTGTTTTGAATACAGGGGGTGGAATTTTGTGGTCCATATTAGCTGTGAAAATTTTGGGATTTTTAAGTCCAAAACAAAGTTTTGCAGTGCAGCGAATAACTCATTTTACTGTATTGTATACAGTATATTTTTTAATTAAGTATTATCTCTAACTATTTAAACTCTTCATGTATCTTATTTTAGAACAGGTTCACTTTTGAAATTTCCCATAATACCACTATTTTATTTCCCTATACTGTAGAGAACATCCAGGGAGTTTCACTGTCTGCTGGTACGATGCAGAATGGACTCCCATCAGGACTCCATCAGGTTTTGCTTATTAGTACCTGGAGCAATACAGTATTAATGGAATACAGTATTAATGGAAGTATTCAAAATGAGAAACTGGAGAGTTCCAGTTTTTTCCATCTATTTCCAACAGGTTTGCTTTGAGTTTTTGTTCAGAGATGTAGAAATAATGGCTGAAGGAGTAGATAGATACTCCCAGCTTAACACCATGCCATAGCCCCGTTCCCAGCTCAGAAACACCTTCTGCAAGCTGTGGGATTCTAAGTGTGGGATTAAGGATCTGTGTGTGAGCCTCTGTTCTTAGCTACTCTGGGGACATGAAAGCTTTGGGGACACATTTTTCATCCATTTGAGTTTTTTATTTACGCAGTGGGATGTTTTAATTTCATGCTATGCTTATCTGCTGCTGCTTCTCTCTTTGCAAATGTTGTGCACAGTGTGCAGGATATAGTTAGCACTTCCTGCAGGGCTGTCATGTTGGTGAGCTGATGGGTGCAAAGTGGTTTTATGTCAAATATTGCACTAGTAACTTCAAATATATTTAGAAGTGGGGTGACGTATGAACTGAGAACAGGCTGAACTTGCTGAAATATTGAACTTCTTAATCTTTTATTTGATACAAATAGCCAAAACTTTAAAATACCTGTTTATTAATTCTTTAAACAAACAATCAAACAAACCAGAAAAACACTGATGTGAATTAAAGTTTAATAGATTAAAACAGATCTTAAAATCCAAATAGTAACTCCTGTAATCACCAAGTTCCTTGTAGGATCAATGGCATTAACTACAAGGCTGTCTGCTCTTCAATATTTTCAGGCAATTTCCAGGTTTTAAGAGATGGGGGGTTTGTTAGATAGTGGGGAGAGCAAGGCACAGGTACATAGGGAGTTGGAGCTCTTGGAAGGGGACGTGTAGGAAAATGTCTGTTTTGGTATATCTTTGAATGTAGAAAGTAAGGCATTATTGTAAAATGAGGAATTCTGTCTATAAAAGAAGCCATGTATGAATTCTGATTTGTATGCCATAATTAAAACAGAATTGCTTAAGGAGAATCTGACAACCTGTATTGGACATCACATGAAATCCTGTGATTCTGTAAATGATCACAGTGATTCCTGGTGTTTTATAACCTGCCTGTTTGTGAATCGCCATCTGCAAGTGGCTTGGGAAGAAATTCAGGGTGATCTAGACAAACACATTTTAATTTCAGTGATATAAATAGGGTGCTGTAAGTACTGCTGTTGGGCTGGTTCGTTTCCAGCAGCAAACTCAAAGGTGATTCTTTTCAGTATGGATGAAAGGAGCCAGACAAGTTTTGAAACAATTTTGTCTCTCAGGAGAGTCAATTGATATGGGTATCAGCTTTTCCTAATTACTACTTGCTTCTGATTTCCTAATAGCTGAATTCTCAGCTTTACAAATCCATTTGTTTTCATTTGCCAAAACAAAATTAATTTGTTACACTTCTCTTGTTTTTCAGATTTTAATAAGTGAAGACGAGCCTCAAAGTATTGTGAGTAAAGACGAGGATTTCTCCTCCTATCCAGGGCCTGTCATGGTAAGCAAAAGTGTTCTATTCTGTCAAGAGCCTCTACAGGCTAAAATCTAAAAAAGCATTAGAAAATTAATACTTACATGTGGGATTGTTGAATCTGAAATGTACTGTTAGACTAGACTAAGCTAATGCTTTTTTTCCCCCTATTACTCATATAAGGCTTTATTTTTCATGACTATTAATCAGGCTGCAGGAAGGAAATCTGTATCTAATTTGTTTGTGTGCTTGTCTTTGGAAGTGTAGTAACTCCAGTAAGTTACTGAAATCTGTGTTCTCTAAACAATCCATCATCTATGACCTTTCATTGGTCACTGATGGCTTGCTGTGTGGTGAGGGGGGCATTAAGTGACAGTTCTGAGGTTAACTGTAAAGCTTTGTTTTTCAGGATGAAGAGACTCAGCACAGCCTTGAATGCATCCAAGCTAATCAGATTTTTCCCAGGAAGCAGCTGATCCGAGAGGATGAGAACCTTCAGGTAATCACCATGCTTCTCCTTGCCAGTTAAGATCACAGTGTCCCTTGTTGAGCTGTTTATTCACTGGCCTCTCCTGCAGAATTTTCTTCTGTGAATCAGCACAGTAACAGGAGAAACACTTTCTCTGCTCAGATACTGTTTGATAGAAAAGAGAGCTTGTGCATTACATTGCAGAAGTTTCCTCAGTACATAAAAAACATAGCCACGTACCCATGTTGTAATTTCAAGTGCTTTTTTCCTGCACTGAGAATTTAATAATAATCCCTTTTTATCAATGTTAGGAAAATTTTTATTTCATAGTTGAGAACTATGTTCCAACCTCTGCCCTGCCCCAAGAAAAACAAAACCTAAACAAACAAATAGCAAAAGCACCTCATGCTTCTGCTTGGGTTCTCTACCATTGCTTCCTGTTACAGAGAAGCCAGGAGTCTTATGTAGCACAAAGTAGATTTTTTGTTTGGTTTTTGATTTTTCTGAACTTCAGGTGTAATCATTGTAATTCAGGTGATTTAACCATATAGACATCTTTCAGTTAACTGAGAAGCTAGTGTGTTTCATTGTAATAGAAAATATTTTTGATTGGCTTAAGCTGATGTAAAACCAGGTTAGTTTCAAGTTGAGCATTTACATGCCTTTCACCCAACTCAGCTAATCCGTGCTTAAATCTTAGTTTTACTTCTTAAACAATTGCAATTTTTATGTGCAACATAAAGTTACAGGTATAGTTTCTTTCCAACTTATAAAGCAGCAGCATGTCAAGCATTTTCATATTAGCAGTGGAATATAAGAGTCAAAATTATGATTTGATTGATTGCCTTACACTGTATAGCAGTCAAGTTTCCAGTCTGAAATGCTTAGTGAATGCTGGGGACTGCAGCGTGGAAGGTTATGCATGATTTATGTTTTGCCTAATTTAGGATGAATTTAATAACAAGATGGAAATGTCACTTTCTATTAAGTAAGGAGCAAGAGCATAAATCACAATGTTGGACTGCTTGCCAGTTTTTTCATAAAAATGCAATCTTTTTACTGACTGAGTGCATACAACTCAGGCAAGCTATGAGAAATTGGGGAATTGTTTAAAACAAAGGCTGCAGTTCCTTATTTTAATAATAGCTAGATTGGGTTCTCAGAGGTGTTTCATTTTACATTGTTGTTATTGTGTGTTTGAGTGGGTGCTTACGGGAGGAATGTGTTTTGATAAATGCTTTCTAAAAGACTTCTCTTTCCGTTCTGAAGGTCCCATTCATTGAACTTCATGGTGAGAGTACAGAGTATGTAGGACGAGCAGAGGATGCCATCATTGCACTTTCTAATTACAGACTTCACATCAAATTCAAGGAGTCTGTTGTGAACGTAAGTGTTATTTGTGCTACTACAGCAATGCAGGTATTTTGAACTCAATCCAAAGAAGAGAATTAGATGAAAATAGTGATCTTCCCTTTTAACGTTTAAGGTAATAAAGAATCTCTTTATTGTGTTCAAATCATGAACACATTTTAACACAGTAGAAAGGTGTACTTGGAGTTCAAAAGATTGCTCAGTGCCTCTGAAAACATGGCTTTGTAATCCACATCTGCTTTCTCTTCCCTGTATGGGTGGCTGTCAGCCATACGTGCTGCCTAAGCTCTGTATACAGTTGGTAGAGAAACACAGGGTCCTCCAGAGGGCTGTTTGCAGAATCTAAGCCAAGTTCATAGCTTGCTTGGAGTAGCTTCTAAAATTTGATGCTTGAAGTTGAATAGTGTCAAATAGTATCACAGATATAAGAGACTTGTGAATTTTACCTTATTTTTCAGATTCCTGTGCATTTCTTAATAGAACTGTACATCCATTTTTAAGAACTGTTACATATCTAGCTACTGAGGATCATAGAAATAGATTTTATGTGAAAATGAATTCAATGAGCATTGTATAATCCCTTAGTATGATGCTGACATATTTCTGTCTTACAGATTATAATACAATTTGTAAACTATGTGGAATTCACTGGGACATTATACATGGCACAGAAGTTTTTTTGCAAATATTTGATGAAACCAGCAAGATAGGTTCAAACAACCTGGACATATTTTTTCCCCCTCCCATCAGGAGGGGTTTTTCACCAGTCTCTTTAGTTCAAGACCATTCCTGACTCTGGCTAGTGGTGAATAATTGCCAGGTGTCAGTATTGAATTACAAAGTGCTGAGTTAAGTGTGGAACACCAAAACTGATGGATGTTGTTCTAAAGCTGACAAAAGCAAGGGCAGCAGAAAGAAGGCAGATGCCTGTCACGTACTTTACTGAGACATGTGCATCCTAGTGGTATGGAACATCACTGAGGTCTCCAGTGCACGTAACTGATACAACTTTTGGTACCATGTCCATCTTAAATGTAAATTGTTCTTTTATTGTTTTGTGCCAGAGCCAAATGATTAATTCTATTAAAAAAAATAGTTTACTAATTGTTTAAATCTTCACTGTTTTGCATTGTCTCTAAGATACGGCTCTGTTCTTTAGGCTTATATGTGCCTCTTACAGTTATTAATCACATTAAGTGCCCTGTTAGTTCATGAGCTGTCAACATAGGATGAAAGGCATATCTGCTGGGCTATTGAACATCTGCATACCGCACCAAAGTGCTAAAATTCTTGATGTGTGTTTTATCTCAGCAAACAAAGGTATTATTTCTCAACATGGCAGTTATTCAAAATGCTGGCAGAACATTTCTGAAGGCAAAAATTAAACTGGAAATCAAAGTGCTCTTGTCTTTCATTGCTGGCCGAACATGGAAGATAGTTTGTGTGTATGCATGCATGAAGACAGAATAACTTTACTTTCCATTTCTTATTCTGTGGTCCAGGAATATAATGTGGGGCTCAGTCTGTGCATGGGAATGGTAGCCAAGGTTCACTAGGTGCTCATGGCTCAACTGCAGTCTGGCCAGATGCTTCCCAGTGAGCTGTTGGCAACAGAAGGAAGATGTGTCATGAGGAACGTGTGTTGTAGGAGTCCTCTTCTTTGTGATAGAAACATGAATTTGAAGGCTGATTTTTCTCTATAACTGTAGTATTTAGTGTTGGATTTGTTCGTTTTTATTTGATTTGGAGTCTGAATGTTGTGGCAGAGGAAAGGACTGAATGTTTAAAAGGAGGTGGCTGAGACCTGAGAAACAAGAGTAGCCCTAGCAATTGGGAGTTTGTCCTTAGGAATGCCAGGAAATGACTGAGTTACTTTATTAGAGAAGGCACTAATGCATGTACTGAAGTATCAGTCCTTGGGATAACTGGAAAATAATTTTGAAGAATAACCAATTCAATATTTATGAGCAGAAACAAAAACTGATGTTTTCTTAAATAGAGTATTATTTGAATTTAGGAAGAAGTACATAAAACTTATATTATAAATATTACCACGCTAATTTTGCTTCACTGACTTTTATGTTCTCTCAGTCCATTTGATGTCTCCAAGGTTTGTTAGTCTCTCTTTGGATGTCATCATTAACCAGAAAGATTCAATTATATTCTATAGGTGGAAGAGTAGAATACAGTTTATTTGCTAATTCTATATGGCCATCACTAATAACTTATTGTGAATTCTGTAGTACTGGGACCAAAGGCAGATAGGGTTTGGAATACCTGTAAGGATGAAAGGTATTTGCAGTAATTAGGAACCATATTTAAATTGCTGAAATTTGAAATAATAATCACTTTTGTTATTGTTGATCAAATGGTGATTTTCTGAAGGAATTCTTCACTGAGTAATCTTTGATTGTGTTCGTCTTGATTTTTGTAGTGGTTTTATGTCATGAGCTCTTCAGAAAACTTCTACAAGAAGACCTTGAAGGAAAAAGGGAAGTTTACTTACGTTGGGATTGTTTTTTCTGCTTTCAATGATTTTCCTAAGAATCAGTATCCTAAGATCAGGCTTACTGTCAGCCTTCCCACCTCAGCAGAGGGAAGCATTTGTGTGTATGAATGAGGATTCTTAGTGAGTATCTGTATTATGGTGCTGTTAAAATGAATGAGTTCTGGCATCTGAACGCGCAGCTCCTCTTGAAGTAGACAGAATGTTCTTGTGTGGTAGCTCTAGAAATGATCCTCCAGGGAATGCAAAACTGCCTGAAGGAAATGGAATCCAGTTAAAAATGGATTCCCAGTCTTTGTTTTTGTACCTCACTGTTCTCTTTTTGTTTACAATTCAATAGACTGGCTGTCCAAACGATGCTTGTGAAACCTCAGTAAGTAGCACAATGTTGCTAGATCACTTGCTGCACCTGTGCTTGAAAATAAATACATTTAAATGTTGATAATGCTCACATTGCAACACTGCAGAAAAGAATTGTATGCCTAAGTCATTTCCATGGATAATTTCCTAGATCTGAGCAGTAATAGGAATGTGGTGTTCTAAATGCAAAAACAAAAGATCCCTTAGACCATGCATAAGTTGAAAGGATTACAGCATTAAAAAGCATTGACTTGTATTTATCCACAGGATGAAAATGCAGACACAACAGTGATATCTCAGTGCACATGAGAGGTTTGGTTCCCAGGCTGATCTCTATTGATTGGCTTTCCTTAAGAAAATTTCAAACTTTGCAGCTGGAATTTGTCTGATCATTTTTCTCGATGTAAGCTCATTGCATTTATGAGAGAATTAAAATATTAGTGTAGTTTATGAAACCATGGGTTTGAATGTAGCCTCTTTCAAATAGCAGATTTTGGACACAGGAGAAGAAAAAAAGTCACACTAACAAGATGGAGGTTTTCAGTCCTGAGATCAAATGAGTTTTTGTGTGAGCTTCCCCTTGGCCTTTAGTGGAAAAATGATTTGTTTGGTTTCTTTCCAGTCTCATGTGAGTATTATAGCTGTATTGCATCTGTGCTTAGTCCTCATGTCGATCCCAGGTCCTGCAACTGTGTGTGCAACAAGTGCAACTGAAAGCACAAAAAAAAAAAAGAAAAAGGGGGGCTAAATAATTACCTATCAGGCAAGTCTAAATTGTAATGTAAGTGTAATTAAAAGCAAAATTTGATTTGGATACTCCTTGCAAGGTCTGTGAGCAGTATTACAGCTGGAAGGATTTGAACTCCTCCACCTATGAGAGTCCTCTAAGGCCTTCTGAGGTGATCTTGCAGCATCTGTACCTCCATGTGCTGTATTCTTCTGTGTTTCAGGACGTAGAGCACATAGCTTTGACCTCATACTATGTAAAGTAACCAATATGTAATGTAACCCTAACATTACTTCAGGCTCAGAAGCAGGAAAACAAGAAAGTACTAATTACAGCTCATGGCCCCTGAGTTACACATGGCATCCAGGAGAGTCTGAGGCCAAGTGGTGTGCAGGGTAGAGAACAGCATATTCAGTCTTCAGGGATCTGTCTTAAAACAGCCTGGACACAATCCAGTGTGTACTACTTGGCGTCATGGTCAGGGACTGAGCCAGGAGATGGGTTGTTTCAGCAGTGTAAACATCACTTTTCTTTTTCTGGGTATGGAGGTATATTTCTCTAAATATATTTTGTACTGCTGTGAGGTGACAGCTCCAGTAAATAAAAATTAAAGGAAAGATTACTTGCAAAAGAAAAAGGTTGAGTTGTAAGTTGTTTCTGTTTAAAATCAGATTGATTTTCAAGAAGAGGTAGTCAAGAAACACATTGCAAGAGCATAGTGCTGTAGTGCTCTGTCGTGTGATGTGGCTGGCCTTTGATAACAGTGCATGTTTCTTTGTATAAAAGTGAAAATTACTGCTTCGCTGCTTTCTTTAGATAGATGTTAGTATATGGTGAAGTGCTTGCATATAAAATCAAGGGCTCTTTCAAGAGCAAACTAACTGCACGGGGTGTCTGCCTTGCTGCGTGCTTCAGCTGAAATGTGTTAACAGTAGAAATGGAAGAATATCCATGGGAGGGGAGGGTGAAGGTGGATAATGTTAGAGTTTTTTACTGGGTATTGAGAGTGAATGACAGGAAGGAGTTTGAAGAGGATCAGAGTATAGATCTTTATGACTGGAAAAGAAAATTTAAAAGACTGATATGAAGGTAGTCCTAAAGTAAGAAAGAAATAGATGGGGAGCCATGTGTAGACTGTAAAGTGAATAAAGAACGGCTGTTGAGCAGAGGGCAGATTGAAAAGGAGTAGAACAAAGACTGCTTTGTAAGAGAGGAAATCAGATGTAATGCAGAAGTGGAAGAATAGTTAGTATGTCATTAGAGTGCAGGTAGGAGGAAGAGGAGCTAGAACAAGGCTGGTGGGAAGAGGGAGCAAGATGGGTGCTGGAAGGAGTGCAATAGAAGAGACCTTGAAAAGGAAGAATCATAACAGGTAGAGGAACAACTGACCTATAAAGGATGCTTTCTAGGTCTCGAATCATGTAGTAGGAGAAGGGTATCTTTCTGTGTTGGTGCCACGTATGCTGATGGTAGTTTTAAATCATTTATTGATGCATGTGAGACTGTCTGGTCAGGAAGGAAGACTTGGAGTGTTCTGGTCCAGTCCCTTATTAGACAAATTGATCGCAATTTTATCTACCTTGCAAGCTAGACTCAAGTTGGAGAAATTGCTGATAAAAATAAGAACACTGACTGTAGTAACAAAAGTATATCTGATACGCTTGTCTGTAATGCATTTGAGTAGTTCTTTACATTGGTATCTAAGCCCATCAGCACCTTCAGTGTACCAGTTCTAACTACTCGCCTGTTCTACCAGAGCTGGGTGGTTCTGCAGTCAATTTTATCTTAATGATGGCAGATAAAGAGGAAGCTTGGCTGAGAGGGTGCATGTTTGGACACCTGTTGATGTTGCTAGTCATGTAATTTACTTTAGACTATTGCCAAAACAGTAATAAGACTGAAAGCATGGACTAAAATTCAAGTTTCACCTTTGAATACCCTGACTACTGGGCTGTCCAGTCAGACTTCACCCTGTGTAGGCATCTCCATGCTCAGAAGGTTTCTTGTGGCTCATGTTTCTTAGATATGTTTCTTCTGCCTCCTATTTTTGATTCCTTTTCTCCTTCCATTCAAATCAGGGAATACTTAAGCTTTGTGATGCCTGAATAGAAGCAGTCTTGGCTCCACACCTTGGATCCTTGATTGGGAGTGACTTTCAAGGATGTTTGCCCAAAGTCACACAGACAGTGTCAGAGCAGGGTTTAAAGCTATCATGTAATCCCCAAGGCAGAACTTAAACTGCTGGATCATACCCTGCTGATGACAAAGAAGATAAGAGCATTTGAGTGCTTCTCTGATAGCATTTGTATTCAAGAATCTCAGTGGCAGAGGGTTTGCTGCCTTGTATAATGTTCAATATCATCTCTAATAAGCATTTCAGACAATTTTACACTTGGTCTTAAATCCTGTAACTGTGTTTGGAATTTAGACAATTATGTATGAGATACTTGAGTACTAACTTTTGTCAAGTAAGACCACAATGTAGGTTTGCCTGTCTCGGATAAAAGTCCAAAACTATTAATGAAAACTAATATTTTCATTGTGTGGTTTCTTCTCATCTTTAAAGGTACTCACATGTGCTTACATGTTTTGCCTGATCAAGCTTCTGCAAGTTACGTATGCCCTAAAACATCATAAGTTCATATAACTGCGCCTTTAAAAATGAATGATTCAGCTTTATTACTCTAAATACAGCTGCTTTGATCACAGGTGTTGATTTACAAGTGCCAAAGGTTTTCCCTAAGTAAGATATATAGAATATATCCGTATAAGAAGCATGTAGACTGCAGCGATCTGCTAAGAGGCATCTTGCTTAGCATTTTCTTTTCAACACCAATAGCTAAAATTACATTTCATAAATCTCTAAATTTGGACCTCCAAGAGAGAAGCTTCCATGAGGGAGGAGCTTGTGGGTTTCTGCTGCTTTTTCTGCCTTCACATATGTTACCAGTGCTGCAGTCCTGTCCCTGATAATTTCAACTATTTTCCTGGTATCCCTTAAGGTTCTTTGGCTGTACAGCAATGGAGCTAGAAACTTCACTGATCTATGATTCCATACTTCAGAGCTGTTGAAGTAGCTATACCTAGTTTCCTTTGCTTTTCTCTCTCTCTTTTGTCTCCATGCAGTCCTATAATAAATCCTTGTGAAATATACCAAGAAATTGCAATGTTAATGCCACTTGAAATTAAATCATATAATCTTTTTAATTGCAGGTTCCGTTGCAGCTTATAGAAAGTGTTGAGTGTCGTGATATATTTCAACTTCATTTGACTTGCAAAGACTGCAAGGTTATAAGGTATGACTAGAACAAATGTTGGGGGGTCAGTGTACCTTCTGTGTAATGTGAACAGCTGTGATGTTTTAAGGGAGTATTTTCTAATTATTTTGTGTGCTTGCTTTCCCCTGAAAGATTTTCTTCTGTCTGCTTTTATGTATGATGGGATGGGATTAAGATGTCTGCTTGCTACTATACACTGTAGCAGACCCTAAGCTATCTTATTTTATTTGGATTTTGGTTTCACAGCTTTTTCTCTGCCTTAGCATGTAATGCTAGACATAAAACTAGATAAAACCACTGAAACACACGCTTCTTAGAAAAAATGTATTAACATTTGAGACTGAAGAGTGGGGGCTTAAGATACAGGTTTGTGCAGCTCTACATGAAACCTTCAGGCTGGGCAGCACCAGCTACCCTGTGTTTTGACAGCTGTCAGAGTGCAGAGACTATCCTTAAGGAGAAAGTTGCCCATTGGGAAAGAAGGCCTGGAATTAAGGTACAGCCAGGTCTGCAACCCACCTTGGTTCACAGCAGGTTAAACAGCATCCTGTGGAAGGGAGTGTTAATTTGTTTCTGTCCTTCAGCAGGTCTTCAGCATCTGCCCCTGAAGTCTCTGAACTTCACTGTTTCCTATTTTTGTTCTGGAGAAATTAATTTTGATCTATAAACTTTAATTAACAAGAAAGGAACGTTTTTTCTGATTAAATGTTTGCTGGCAGTACCTTTCATATAATGAAACGAGCCCTAGTCACAGCTGAGCACTCAGAATGTTTAACAGGCCAGCTGCTTTTTGAAATGCTGTATTTTGGTGAGGTCTGATTTTACTTCAGAAGTAATATTTAGTTTAATTTGAATTAAATATTTAACTTCCTCTTAACTTGTAGCTCTTGACATTTAAAAAAAACATTCTTCCTCTCTACATTAATTTAATTCTCTTCAATTGCACAGTGAATACAAATTATTTGTATTTATGACCTCCATCATGAATTTTCATTCAAAATTGCAGCTCCTACAACCAGTACTTGATGCCACTAATTACTGGAAAACCATGAGATGTGGAGTTGAGAAGCCAAACTTAGAACTTGTGTTATGTTTTCATCAACAGGGCAGTTGGTGTTTTTGAACATCAGGGCTCAAATGAAGATAGTTTTGAAAAAGCAGAACTAAATTATCTTTAAGGTGTTTGCTCTCATTTTTTTTTGCTTTCACGAAGGTGTTCATAGCCTATCAGATCTTATAATCTGACATCTGTTACTGAGAATTAATAGATAAATGCTTCTTTCTGTGACAGGTGTCAGTTTTCCACTTTTGAGCAGTGTCAAGATTGGCTTAAGCGTCTGAACAATGCCATCCGCCCTCCTTCCAAGATAGAAGACCTTTTCTCATTTGCCTACCACGCCTGGTGTATGGAGGTGTATGCTAGTGAAAAGGAGCAGCATGGGGATTTGTGTCGGCCAGGTATGTGGAAGCACTTTGGGGTTCATCACAGATGGATTGACCACTGACTGCCTGGTTTCTGCTGAAATCCAGAACATTCCAAAAAAAAACCCAACCAACCATCAAGCAAACAGAAAACCCACAAAAAACAAACAATATCAATATTCTTTTTTTTCTGTTTAAATTATACCTGAAGAATTTCTATCACTGGAACAGATTGCCCAGGCAGGCTGTGGATGCCCCATCCCTGCAGGCATTCAAGGCCAGGCTGGATGTGGCTCTGGGCAGCCTGGTCTGGTGGTTGGTGACTCTGCACATAGCAGGGGGGTTGAAACTAGATGGTCATTGTGCTCCTTTTCAACCCAGGCAATTCTGTGGTTCTATATGAACTTCTTTTACATCAGCTCTTGCACTTACTCAGTGGCTATATAGTGTATCTTCACTTGCAGCAAGCGCCTTCAGTGTCTTCCATGTATGGACTTCTGCATGATGTGAAGTTTGTTCTGACTGGACAAATGAGAGATTAGCTCCTACCATAGCTACTTTGGGATAAAAAACAAAAACAAAAAAAACAACATAACCTGTGCAAAACTGCACCTCAGTGTTGTGGGAAAGTTACTGTGGTGTTTTTAATTTAGGCAGTCACATATAGTACTGATAACATTTTGTTCACCATGGCAGTAACTCATTCTAAAACATTCTGTACTGATTATACTCACGTTTTTAGTAATTACCTACAACAGTTACCTTTAGCATGGATGTTGAGGAGTAGGAGGTAAAGAAGGAAATCTGAGCTGTGAGTTCCACAGCTGCAGTAGTGACCTATTTTTAGTTAAATACCACCTGCACTAGATAGTTAGAAAAGTCCATAAGTAAATAGAAACTGCAAATTCTTACCCTGGTGGTTATAGCACTTGAATATGAGGAAGTCTGTGTTCCAGGCACCCTACTGAGCCCCTCTACATTCATACATCTTAGAAAAGCACCTTAATTATCAGAGCTTGGTTAATGGAGGGGAATGGTGGCGTGGTGTGACACCTATCACTGGAACTGGTGTGAGGCATAGCAAAGCCTGCAGTTTTCTTGATGGCTGAGGAAGAGCAGCCAGTAGGTGGCACCCAGGTGGGAGGAGGTGTTCTTTGGTTCCGGTTCTCCTCCTGCACTTCATGTGCTTCATTAGCGATTATTGAAAAAGGTAGAAGAATCATCAGAGCAGATTTTAAAATTCAGATCTTTCCTAAGTAATTCATTAGCTGGAAGATAGTAGAAATGTAGGTTTATTAAATCTCCTTTGCATCCTTTTCAGATAGGCTTCAACCTAACAGTAGGTTATGCTGAGCAGCATTCACTTTGTGATAAACCTTTTTTGTCTTAGGGATGTATCTATGAAATTGGTAAGCAGTAACTTTTACTCCTCTGTAGCTTGCTTATTTCTGATGGTAGATGTTTTCCTCCTGTAAAGAATTAAACTATAGTTAAAATAAACCAATGGGGATATAATTAAAAAAAACTAATCCAGGTCATTGGATTTTCATTTGTTTATTTACAGCAAAGCAGTCCAGTATTTGATGGAGATGGATAAAAATACTGAATTGCTTCAAAATGTATCTAAATATCAAATTCCGGGGAAAAATGCATTCTAAAGCACTGACCATGTATGTAATGGGAGACTTGAACTGTGGCTTATGTGGTCAGCATTTATAGTTATAAAGCTTTCTCTTGAATCTTGAGAGTTGGTTGGCTGTGCTTAGAAAGTTAAGATTGTCCATCTTGGCTCAAAAGGCCTCTCAAAATATCCCCATTTCAGGGGATTCAGACAGAATGGTAAGGCTGTGGTTTCATTTCTTGGAGAGAAGAATCTGATTTCTTGATGCACAGAGTGGCTATAAACTAGAGGGAGAAATCGAACATAATATTTCATTTTCACGTGTTTCTCTAAAACACATCAGCAGTATGTGGCACTGATGATTGGAGATACTCTAGTATGCTCATTTGCTACACAGACTATTAATTTGGCATGTGCCATGAGTTTTAGTGGCCATTCTTCACAGCAGCTGATAGTGAAGCCCATCCTCAGTGCATCAAGGGCATGCTGCTCTTCCAATAGAACATTTAGAGACAGAAATAAAAGGCAGTGATAAAGAAGAGCAGGACAGAAGTGGTGGACTGGCCAGAATGTATTGTTCCAGTTTCATTTCTGAACTTGAGAAAGGGTCAAAGGCCTGTCCTCACAGAGAGGACATTTCAGGATGATCTATTCTAGGTGGCTAGAAGATAATAAATTCAAGCTCATGCAGGCAATAAGAGTTCATGTGAAAAGTGGGAAAATGTTGGCAAGCTCCACTCCAATCGATCTGACAGTAGGAAGGTAAAGCAGATTGCAGTGCCTCCATGTTACTGAGATTGACCTTTTTGAAGATTCACAGCCTAGGAGGCAGAATAATTTCTTTTTCTTTCTTTTTGGAAACTATTTTACCAGTGACATGATGGAAAGTGAGTAAGTGATGATGGGCAGTCAGGTCTCTGGTTTTACCAGTGAGCCTTGAAGAAAGAGTGTTTGCACACAGTGCCATTCTCCTATTTAAACCTCCAAACAGTGTGAGAAAAACAATCTCATTAGACTTACCAGATACCTTGCACGTGGTAAAGCACGTCTCGAATTGAGGAGTGCCATTTTCAGCACATGAACTGAGCTGTAAAAATGAATGACGTTGTAGCTTTTCTTTCATGGTTAATTAAGTCTTGTGGTTGGGGCCGTTATCTTTAATCTTACTTTACCTATTTCTCTATATTCATCTCTAATTGCTTGGTAATATCACAAAACTGTTTCAGGCATGGACCTTTACATCCCCAGGGACACATCTGTCTGCACGTATATCTCATGTATTTAAAGACATTGAAGGTTTTCTGAAATATGTAAAAGAAAGAAGTAATACTTAAAGCATTAATTTTTCAGTACTTTTTTCTCTCACTGCTGCCTCAGGATTTTGTGGTCATTTAAAGAGACAAACAATAGAAAGACTTGCAGAATCTCTTTTTCTGCTGTTGCTCAAACATTTACATCTGTTGTAACTGTTCTATGCTTCTAAGTACCATTAATTCTCCAGATTCTATCAAAATACTTTTTCCTTTTTGTGTATTTTTCAGCTGCATTTTAATAATTTTAAAATTATGTCCAGGAAAAAATGGAGCTCATTCCTTTAATATATTAAATTTCATGGCTGATATTAGTGTCCAACAATCACACCTTTAATTCTCATCACCTCTCTGATTTATGCAATTTAGGGATGGAAGTCTGAGATGCATTATGTACAGAGCTTACTTGTTTTTCTTACATGAACCTACAGAGGCAGGTTGTTTTAGAGAAAAACACTCTTCTATGGATTTTGGCATTTCCAGAGAGCTGATCAGGGAGAGCCATCAATACAGGCTGTGGTACTTGTGCTTGATACAGGTTTTCAAACAGGGTTATGGAAGGTGGACAATATTTCTGAAGTGTTCTTTCCTCTGTTTAGTATTTAATGAGTGTGGTGTCTTTCTCTGTTTTGGAAGGTAGGAGTCTTGTTATTTCACCTTTATTTTCTCTCTGCCTTTGATACCCAGGAGAACATGTAACTTCAAGGTTTAAAAATGAAGTGGAGAGGATGGGTTTTGATATGAACAATGCCTGGAGAATTTCCAACATCAATGAAAAGTACAAGTAAGTTATGTGGGCTGCTGATCTGCAGCCAGACAGCATCTCAAAACACCACTTTTTTATAGCAAAAATAGTTACTGGAACTTTTTCCAAGTTCTGCAGTTCCTAATAAGGGACAATTAAAATTATGTAGATTTTTTTGCTATTTTATAGCATAAATTTGCTTTTAAAGTAGTATGTAATGTTTTGTTAAGAGTTAAAATTTTGCAGGCTTAGAAATATGTGATTTTGATGTGCTTGCTGGAGATCTCCTTAGAGAATAAGCTTTCTAGTGCGAGAAGGGGAAGCCTTAAGAAGACAGCAAAGAGTGGAGCTGTACTGAACTTATAAAACGTTTTTTTTAACATACCTTATTCTCTAACTTATGACAGTCTTGTGGGAAAAAATATAGTTTGGATGAGTCAAACCTTAGACCCCAAAAACAAGTGGAAAAAAACCTTTTCCTGAGAGTATGGATAAATAAATGTCCCCTCTTCTGTCTGCTGGGTCAGAGAAAGGTGTTTGTCTGTTTATGGTCAGTAGGAGTGTACTGCTGGAGCCCCATCCAGTTCAGTGCAAAGCCAGCAGTAACACTTGGTGATGGAACATGTTTCATTGCCTTGTCTATGGAGGATAATGACTTGCAGTTGGAAGCTGCTGTTACTGCATGAGCAGTATTTGTGCCTAAAAATCTAGCCTACTTAAGAACAGTAAAGAATGCTGAAGAAAAAGAGAACTTCAGTGCCATAAGGAAGCAGAATAATACAAATGCTTCGTTCTTGTGGCCAGCACTTGAGATAGGATTATTTTTTTTAGCACAATTGATACATTTTTCTGAATAAATGCACTCAAACCTGTCCTTGCTCAGTGAATGTATCTCTTTTTAAGTTCCTTCATGTAAGTTCACTGTAGGAGTGTGTATTCTATTTTCAGTAAAACATATTAGGTATTGAACTTACTTGATTTTTTTTTTTTAAGGATATTCTCCTACTAGTGTATATATTTTAAAATGAGTTATAAAAATTATTGTGGTAGACTACCCAGAACCATAATGTAGTTAGAACAAGCGACACACAATGCTAATTCTTCTTGTTTCCCATTTCTTATACTTATGTCTCAGGTAGAAAGGAGGAGGAAGTTTTTCACCCATAGGGTGGTGAGGCACTGTTCACAGGTTGCCCAAGGAGGCTGTGGATGCCCCATCCCTGCAGGCATTCAAGCCCAGGCTGGATGTGGCTCTGGGCAGCCTGGTCTGCTGGTTGGCGACCTGCACATAGCAGGAGGTTGGAACTGGATGAGCATTGTGGTCCTTTTCAACCCAGGCCATTCTATGATTCTGTGAAAGAACATCCAGAATGGACAGCGTTTTGTTATGTCAGAATTCAGTTCTGTTAGAATTATAACTTGGATGGTATGTGTGTGAGTAGCACAGGTGGTTCTTCTGTGCTTTGTGACCCAGTAACTGGGTGGTTAATTCTTTAGCTTGGAGAGAATGTAGAGGTTTTTTTGTGTGCCCAGTTTATTTCAGCTGATGGAGTCTCTAATCATCAGCGTACACAAACAGAAATCTTCTAATCCTGAACTGCACCTTGCTGTTCACAGTAATTTTTTAATATGCTAAAGAGAAGCTTCTTAATGTACAATGAAACAGGGTCTAACAAAACTGCTGGACTGATCAGATATCAGGTCACTTATTGTGTTCTTTGGTTCATGTTGTGTAGGTAGTGTGTAATTGCTCTGTGCTTCTTACATCCAACCCTATGTGCTGCTTTTCTCACAGGCTCTGTGGGAGCTACCCCCAGGAAATTATAGTCCCTGCCTGGATCACGGATAAAGAGCTGGAGAGCGTGGCAAGCTTTCGGTCTTGGAAGCGCATCCCTGCTGTTGTGTACAGGTAGGCACTGGAACAGCTTTTACAAGACAACAGCTGAGATGTTCTTGCAAATAAAAGCTGAAATAATTTGGAACCAGGAGTCTTGGCTTGTCAAGAAAAGCGTTCAGGCTCTGTGGGCCACAGATGTCCACTCAGTGAGCTTGGACAGTCTTTAATAAAAGTGTTGACGGTCTTTTAAATTAATAGTTTTATCGCATATTCAAAGTAATTAGAGGCCTACTTCACATCTTGCCTTGTTCTTGTGTGTATAACGTGATGTGGAGGGATGATTCATGCAGGCCCAGGATCTGCCAAGGTAGAACTGGGGAACTAGGCTGGAACGAGGCAACAAAACCTGGCACGGTCTCCTCTGCACTGCCTGTGGGAGCCATACCCAAGCTGATCTGCTCAGTTATCCACTCTGGGCTTCTGCTGCTCTGCTCCAGAAGGATCCCAGAGGCAGTTTGTATGGATGAGCAGAATAGGACCTGGGAAGCAAGTCATCCTAACAGTTCAGACAAGGATGACAGGGTGCTCTTTTACAAGGAAAGAAGTTCAGACCTGTGATTAAATGACAGCCAAGTGTGATGTTGGTGGTTTTGGGGTTTTTGTCTCTACGTTTGCTACTTGCACATATACATCACTTTATACCTATTTAAATCTCCAAGAATTTGTGCACAGCAGCACATATTGGCCCTTGTCAAGCCATTTATAAAGTAAGACAGACATGTTCAGTCTGAGTGTGAGTAATGGTTTGTATCTTTTAATTCCAGATGTGTTGTGGTAGCACTCAGCATTGTGTGTCCTGCAAGGCATTCATAGGGCAGCATCTCAGTTAAGGTAGTTATGTATTTTGAAAATATGAAAATGAAAAAATGTAAGGTGGAGAAATTGATGCAACTGAAGAAATGGTAAGTAGCATCTCTAGTTAGGTACTCTTGCCATCTTTAGTTCTCACCTGGCCTTTTGGAAGAAGAATCATGCAGAAAAGAAACACAAGGAGAAAACAGATACTCAAACTGTGCACTATAAACAAGAACAAATCCTAGAATTATTCAAAACTCATTTACAAAATAATGCATTTGTTAGCTCTGTCTACATATTTTATATAGCTTTAATCAGGCAGCTTTTTCCTTAAAGTAAGTCCAGCAATTGTTCATAGGATAACTGCTTTTCTGAGACATTTGTTAGCAGCTTATTTAGTAAGAAATATATTTCAGATTTTTTTCCCAAGTATTCTGGGACCTTTGTACTCGTACCCTCCCATAAATGTTTAAAATCTCTTCAATTCTTTGTCATCTGATTTTTTAAAAACATAGAAAATACTGAGAGCTCCATTAAATCTGCCCACTCTCTTTTCTTTGAAACAGAGAGAAAAGAGCTGTTTTCTGAGCTGCAAGTGAAATTTAGAGGTCAGTAAAGTAGACAGAATCGTATGACCTTGGTCAGAGGAGCAGGTACACAAGAGTTAAGGATAGGCTAAGAAGCACTATTTACAAAGGATAAGAATTTCTGCTCCATGAATGGAGAACAAATCAGTTTGTGGCAGCAGACGGATGGTTTTGAATCCTCCTATCTTTTCTCCTTTTTTCCCTCAAGAATGCAGTGGTAGCATCCTCTCCAAACATTCAGGAATTGCCCCCATCTTCTGTTCACTCTGTGATGGGAAAAATGTTTTCCAGCATATGCTGATTTTTTTAGACATAGGTAGTTGATTGTTATGGTAGTACATAAGTGTTTGTATGTATAAAAGAGAGCAGTGTCATTTATATATGGTTTTGTATCCAGCTTCCAAAGCCTTGTTTCAGAGCTTCGTGCCCTTGATGCAGTTGTCACATAATTGGGCACACTTAACGTGGGGAAGCATTGCCTCCATTCTCACTGTGGCTTTCTGAGCATTCTTGGGTACAGCTGCGTTCTGGAGGTTTATGGGATGGTGATTTAAATGGTTGAAAGACCTCACTGACTGAAATTGTTCAATTGCTGGCATTAATATTCGACTGCTCAGATGAGTCTACGTATGTTAAATTACAACACAATATTTCATTTGTATCTTTGTTCCAGTGAGAGAAAAGTTCCCGTTTTTGTTTTTTTTCCCTTTATCTTGACACTTAGTAATAGATTTTTTGAGACATTCACTTCATCGTTCTGCACGCCAGTAGAAGCCAAATCAGCTGCTGCTTGATGATCCGTATGATTGGAAATCCATATATAGTTCTCTCTTTATATATGTGACATAAAAGCAGCTTTTTTTCCTTACTTTTGAGGGAGTAATGGGCAAAAGCTCATTCAGCATTATTATCTGTTGAATGATTTGGGGACTATTGATTTCATTATTTATTGATCACATTTAATAACTCTGCTGTTATTGCTTTACTTCAGGGAAGAAAGTAATAATGTTTTAAATACACCCAATAACAAGTCTCAGATATTTCCTGAGTGCTGGGACGAGGCAGCAGCAAGGCAGACACTTGGCTACAAAAACCTCTTTGCTCTCGTAAAGCATTCAAAAGCTGTGGCAGTATTTAGAGTCTGGGAAGTTGAACAGGCTGAGTTCAGAGGCAAACTTCAAATAATACTCCTTCTAGAGTGCATTTCCCACTGCTTCTATTTGATGATCATATTTCCAGAAAAATGTGACACCCACCTTCTGCAGTGCTCCCTCAGTGCTTGCCTGTTTGAAAATCCAGGCACGTCTTGAGGCAGGTAAATGTAGCCTGGAACAGGTTCTGTAGCTTACCTGTCTTTGGTCCCAGAAAACCAGTGTTAGGAAGAAGCCTTTGGGAGTTTTAATGAATGAGACAATACACAGGTGACTTAATCTACATTAAGTAGATGACACAAACATTATTGTGAACTCCTGAGAACCTACTGAGAAATGAGTTGGAGGTGCCTTTGGGTCTCTCATACTGCTGAAGGTTCTTGTCCATGCAGGCAGTGCTTCTGCCAGCACAGGAAGCAGAAGTAACCAGAACTCTGCGTGTACTGTACTTGCTGAATTACTTTGGTGAATTACAGTAATGATTTCTTTGGTTGCAAGTACTAGTAGTTAAGCAGTGCTGTGCAGGGAGCTGTGCAGACCTTTATTACTGCTCCTTGTGGTTGCAAGGACTTGGTGGATTTATTGTTGTACTCAAAAGGTTGCTTGAACAGAAAGATTAAGCTTATGCAGAGGTGGGCTGTACATCATACAGTTATATGGTGCTTTATAATGGTTTTTATAGTTATTGAGTGAGTAATAAACTATGGACCTTCTATTTTCCTGTCTAGAGGCTACATGTTACTGTGTCTCTGGGAGGTCAGAAGGTCTGGGTGGAAGGTTTGGTTTAATATTTTTAATTCTCTTTTTGTTTTGCTACAAATGTGAATGATACCGTCTTATTCTCAGGTCCATCCCAAGGCACCTCAGAATCACACTTAAACTATTTGCTATTTTTTGTTTGTTTGTTTTCCTGCAGCATTACTGTAAACAGAATGGTTTGCTGCTTTCTGCTTAGGAGTATTAGGGCTTCACAGCCATCAGCGAGCTCAGCTCCAGTCCTGGTGGTTCTGTTATTCAGGGTATAAATGGGAGGCGAGAGCCTGAAGATGAAAATATAACTGTTTATGATTCTGTGAAAATGATCCTGCAGGTAGGTGGTAATGAAATCCCAGAGAACATATGGGAGAGTAAATGAGCTTATCTAGGTGTTCGGAATAGAATTATTGCATATATAATGAAGTTTTATTTTCCTTTGTTATTTGTGCCAGCGTACCAGGGAGCTAGGCAGCCTCTCAGTGAGTGGCGTATATTTTTTGCTCAACTAAATTTTTATCAATAGTTCTGCCTCTGGAAGGCAGCTCATTTCAACAGCAATCCATTTTCCTTTGCGTGGAGCTGGCTGGCACCTGTTGTAAATGCCGTGGCATTCAGACTGCTTTTCCTTTGCTTCTGTTAATGCAGCGTGTCAGTTGCTTCCTCTCAGTGAAAGAATTTTATATGAAACCATTACAAAAGAGCTATGAGAAATCCTTAAAATACAATATCACCAAATACTTCAGAATTCCAAGTTTTTCAGCAGCAAGTCTTAACCTGATGTTCACACTGAATGAGCAGTGTGAGGCAGCCTGTTGCTGCTCCCTGCAGTGCTCTGAGACGTGGCTGTGCTGAGCTCTGGCAACAGATTGTAAACCAATTTCTGACACCTGAGCACCCAATAAATTGGTTACAGAGAGAAAAAAGGTGAGATGTATTGGTGTGGGTGGGCCTTCTTCCTGTTCAGGACTGTCAAGGCCAACTGTAAATTTGCTTAAAGATTCAGCTCACCCTTATTTCTGTGCAGTCAAACAGCACTTGGTAGACTTGAGGCTGGGGTGGTCAGTTTGTCTGCAGGAAAACTCCATCTTTTCCTCCAGCATAACATTTAGGCACAACAATTGGCACATAATTCTAGGGATGTGGAGGTTATGTTTCCACTGGTGCTCCTGAGCAAGGAGGGCACTGCTTAAACATACCTGTATTGGGAGGGATGTGTGTCTGCAAGTCATTGAAACAGAAGGGAGAGCAGGTGGGTAAGTGGGTAGAGTCATTCTGATGGGCTGTAAGGCAAGGAGTAAAACGTTTTGGTGTCCCACTCCTTGGCACCACTCAGTCACCACCTGGCCTGAGCAGAGTTGTGGCTCTGCTCTTCCTTTGCATCCCCACTTGCAGTGCCTTTCTTATATGGCTGAGGTCCTGTGTCTGGGGAACATCAAGGAGGATGGTGCAGAAGCCATGTGTAAGCACTGCAGTGAATGGGAAACTGTTCTGCTGGCAGCAGCAGTGGGATGTGTCAGCATGGGGACAGCAAGCGAGAATTAAGTGATAATGTTTCAGAACACCTTTTTTTTTAAGAGTAGATTATAATGATAAGTGTCTAATCTGTTTTCCAAAGCATATTTGCAGTGGTTGGATACTCTTCAATTACTTCACATCTGTTCTTTAATGTAGTCAATTAAAAAAAAAAAGCTTAATAATTCTTAAGGCATTTAAAAAACATATATATATTTGATAGACTTCTCTTTGTCTTATTTTTCAGTCCTCTGAAGTTTCATCAGTGTATAGAGTACTTAAAGTTTATATCCCATTTTAGAAGAAAAATGTTCAGTTAATAAGCAGTTTTTCCTTTTTCATTGCTACTTAGGTATCCACAGAAAAGTTTATGTGCTTGTGCACTTGATTACCAGCCTGGCACCACACTGATGCTTACATGGAGGAGAGCAGTGCTGCTGGTGCTGTGCAGCAGCTCGTTGGTGCTCTCCTGCAGGATGTGGTTGGTGTGAGAGGCAGCAGTGAAACACAACCCGCAGAGGGGGAGGAACAGAGAAAACCACACCTAGTGGAAGGTCAGGAAGGGAAGAATCTGAGAAGTGGAAGAGGCAGGGCTGAGGAGCTTAGGGAGGTGACATTTTGAGGTCTTGGTTGGTTTATTAAATCTTTTTTTTTTTTTTAAGATTACATTAAGATAGAATGCCACTCTTTCCTAACAAACACTAATAGCAGTCTTCAGAATGAGCAAAACTGCAGATGTTCAGCATTCAGAGAAACTAGTGCAGTAGTGCCTAAAATAACGTGGTTCTGCAAAGTGTTCAGGGACTGCCTTTGGTGCTTCACAGATGATGCTTGGAAATGGATACCATCAGTGTGCAAGTTGGTTATGCTTGGTGTTAAATATCATCAGACAGAAGGCGTGCTGCATTCTGCCATTTCATACCAAAATCATAACATTCTTCCCAGATTCAATTAGTAGAATGTTTTGATTTAACAACAAAAAGCTCTTCAAAGCATGAATCTCTGGTTTTACTCCTTTCTAGCTGTATAATTTAGCACGAGCTAAATTGAACTTTCACATTTAGTCTGTCATACTGCAGCTGTAGACCTGACTAGCCAGGAGTCTGACTAGCCTGTTGTTCTGAAATGTTCCCCAGCTTTTCCTGGCCAAAAGGCAGCAATGTTAAGAAGGAAACTGCTTTGTTCTCCATTACCAACCTCAGCTTTGACTTTTACCTTTCAGTGAACGTGTGTAGTTACAGGCAGCATTTTGAAGTGAAGCATGTGGAATGCATTGTCCACTGAATCACAGACTGAGGATAACTGCTGAGCTATAGGTTCCCCGACAGGAATTAAAATGCTGGAGGGAACCGTTTAACTTTTCATGCCCTCTGTGCTTTTCATCCTGACCTTTCAAGTTATGCACTTGTTCTTTCTATTCTGTACATTTTCAGGCACCAGAGCAATGGAGCAGTCATTTCCCGCTGTGGACAACCTGAGGTCAGTTGGTGGGGCTGGAGGAATGCAGATGATGAACACCTTGTCCAGTCTGTAGCCAAAGCCTGTGCCTCAGATTCAAGGTCCAACAGTAACAAACTAATGAATGGAAATTGTGCAAGAGATTTCTCCAATGGAGGAGACCTCTCTGATGTGGAATTCGGTAAGTTTGCCACTTTTCCTCTTCTGTAAAAGGCAGAGCTTTATATATAAAGCTTCGTCTCCTTTGTGTGCTGTGACAGATTGTATCCCTTGTATTTAATGAGGCATTCTCTGATTTCTGTGTGCACAGTGCATACACACTGTGGGACTTGAGTGAATCATTGCTGCAAACAACGCCAAGAGTATCCCTTTAGTTATTCTTCAATTGCATATCTTCTCCCCCAGATTCCTCAATCTCTAACGCCTCGGGAGCAGAGAGTTTGGCAATACAGCCTCAGAAGCTTTTGATCTTAGATGCACGGTCCTATGCAGCAGCTGTGGCTAACAGAGCCAAAGGTGGAGGCTGTGAGTGCCCAGGTAAGCAGTGCTTCTTCACATTTTTGTATTAAGTCGATCAAAAGCATTTGTTTGACTATAATTACAGTGATATAATTAGGTAGTGCATATTTAACAGACTGCATGGATGCAAGTACTGCTCACCTAGAAGAAAATTTTGGACTGTGGCATCTGTCACACAGCCCTTCAGAAGGACAGCTTTAACTCTCAGCTTTCTGAGAGAACAAACCAGCTGGTAACAGGGCTCAGTGTATGCTGAACTGTGCTGATTGTCTTTCCCCTGCTTTGTCAAATACATAAGCTAGTGTGAGACAAATGCATCCACTGGGCTGATGTCTGAAAAACCAAGCAAACTTTGGAATCTGTTAACTGCAAAGGATAGCAGTGTTCCACAATGGTTGTGCAGAAGACAACTTTTCAGCCATTTTTGTAAAGCTGAAATATTTGTAAGCATTTATGCTGTAACCCGAGGCAACTGAAATCCTAATCCATCTTGCATTTGTCATACATTCACATTTATCACTTTCTGTATTCTCTGGCATTACTAATTGTTGATGATATAAAGGAGATATTATTTTATTGCTGTTGGATGTGAATACAGTCTGTTAAAATTCCATGGCTGGATAATCTGAAAAAAAAAACCAAAAACAACAAATTGTTGATAAGGTAACAAAAGCTATTTCAGCCATGTATTTCTGGTTTGGTCTTTGCTGCAGTAGCTGCACTTTGGTAAATGAACACCACAAGAAGAGATTAATTTTCCATTTAACACCTCAAAATGAATGGATAACTCGTCAGCATCGCAGAGTAAATCTGCAAAATGGAAAGCAGAGTATGCAATAAGTTTAACTTTCCTCTATTTGTCTATTGATTCTTGAATTCTTTGTAGGAAATGTCCAGGCAGCTTCAGTGTCACTTCCAGTGTGTTTGACTTGTGTGAAGTGCTTTATTTACGCTGATATTTTTTTTCCCCAGGAAATGCCAAGTTTACTTCATTCCCAAGTGTAACATTTATCTCAGTTACATTGTGTTTTGTGTTATTTATAACATCATTCAGTAAAAATTGCAGAAATACTTAGTCTGGTGCTGACAGTCATTTTGGACTGCAGTTCCTTTTTTATCACTAACAGGATGTTCTGGTTTGGGCCAGAATTTGTTGGGCTCATTAAGATTTGGGAAAGCAAATGGTAGAAGGCACACTCTTCTAAGAGAATACTGGATTTTCTTATACAAGCAATCAATATCCCATTCTAATTCATGATTCTTTTTCTGTTGTAGGAGAGATCATTTTATTGCTATCATGTCATCATTTTGTGCAAATAGAAGCAACAGTACAGAACAAAGCTAAGTCCACTCGTGACCACTGGCTGTGCTGCTGCTGCTTCCCCAGCAGAGCAGTTGCCTGAGTACAGGCTGTAGCAACATCTGAAGTAATGCTCAGTAATTCTGTTTTCCTAACTTCCCTAACTTTGAGGATCTCTCAGGTGTTGCATGTTCCTTGCAATAGAGAAATTCAGCACAGAAGAAGGATTGAAGAGACCTTTCAGCCTCCTTGAGTGGCTGTGAAAGCAAAACCAGAACTCCTATAAGAAATAGAAATTAGCTTACCAAACTTAGGAACATCCACAGAGTATCAGTTAAATGTATTCCATGTTCTCAGTCTGCATAAAAACATTCTGTAACCACCAACACAGCAATATCACTGTTCCCACAGGTTTGTGCTCTGCCTTTTGTAATGTGAAGCAAAACATTGAAAAGAAATACAGAAACACTTTGCTAATTCTTTCCTGTTTTGATGTGTTGTAATGTCTGGAATACCCACTGAAATCCAGGCACTAGTTTTTCATTACAGAATATTTGTGAACAGCTTCTTTCATTTGCCCACACTACCACTGGTTTGTTTTTGTGAAGAAGCTTCTTTTAGAAATTAAGCTAAGCATAGTTTTTAGTTTCTTCTCTCTCTCTCGGTGTTTCCCTGCAGAGTATTATCCAAACTGTGAAGTAGTGTTCATGGGAATGGCAAACATTCATTCTATCCGGAAGAGCTTTCAGTCCCTGCGTCTGCTCTGCACACAAATGCCAGATCCAGGAAAGTAAGTGGCTGTTGAGTGGTTTTTGCCTCTATTTCTATATTTTTTCCCTGCTGTTTTGTAAACTGATGTTCAAGTGTTATGTTTTTTTCCTCTTACTGACTTTCCTGTGCAAAAATGCTAAGCTGTATTTTTCATTTCATAGAATTTGTTGTAGTATTTTCACTGAAGTAAATCTAGAAAATGAGATTGGGAATTATATTTTAGCCCTGGATTTTGTTCCTGGAATCTTATTCCTTTCAAATGGGTTTCTGAGTGCTAGCACTTAATCTAATCTGAGCTTCCTGGATCTTTGAGTTTTGCAGCCTGCCTCTGCTTCAGAGTATTCTAGTGCTGTTCCACATGCTTCATGCATTTGTAGGGGCTTTTCGTTGAACGTAGCCCTTCAGTGCTATGGGATGCTGAGCCTCTAGTGGTGCATCACCTCAGGGGCTTCTGAGGTTGGATCTTCATTAGGACACTGCACCAGTCCTGTCTCCCCTACCACTTCCCTGTTCTGAAGTTGTTGCTAAATGTAATTCGTGGTTTCAGAGTAGATCCAGAATATCCATTCATACTGAGCTGAAAGGAAAACCTCCATGCTGCTGTGATTCTCAAGGAACCTCCAGCACACCTTGGAAAGCCTGGCAGTAGTTGAGATGTGTGTGATGGCAGAGGCAGCTCAGAGGATCCAAACCTCATTGCACAGCAGAGTTGTCCTGGTCATATGGCAGAGCCTCAAGATCTGCCACTGACAGCAGGACTGCAGTGCAACCTGAATCCTCAGCTGGGAAGAAGGGGATCAGTACAGGCTGCTGGAAGTAACCATTACCCAGTGGTGCTTATGGTGGCCTCTGCTGGTGATCTGCTATGCATGTATCTGGGCAACTGCTGCAGCCTGATTGTGGACTCAAGGCTTTGTTTCTTACAGTTCAGGGAAAGTCCTAGCAAAATGTAAATGAAAAATAATCAGTGATGACATTCACAGCTTAAAGTACACATTTAATATTGGTTATGCTTTGATTTGATGAAATCAGAGATTCAAACCTGGAAGCATTTTAAAAGAGCAAAGATTGTCCTCCTTTGTTTTCTTCTAGTTGGTTGTCAGCTCTGGAGAGCACCAAATGGCTGCAGCACTTATCTGTGCTTCTGAAATCTGCACTGCTTGTGGTTCATGCTGTGGACCGAGACCAGCGACCTGTCTTGGTGCACTGCTCGGATGGCTGGGACCGAACCCCCCAGATTGTGGCTCTGGCCAAACTGCTGCTAGATCCCTACTACAGGACCACAGAGGTTTGTAAGCCATCTAGCAATGAACGAGGCATTTATTGAGTTTGGGTTCCTTTCCAAGGAATTTTGTGTTAAGAAATAATTACAGAATTTTCAACTAGAAGCAGCGCAGGAGCTGGCAGGAGTTAACTAACAGCAGTTGCAGATACAGTTACATGTAGGTGTAAATATAGTCTGTAATTCAAGAGCAGATTATGTTTTTCCTCTTTTCAATAACTGCCCAGTCATGGTGTTCCTTTCCCCATATTTAGCTTAGGAACATGCAATATGGAGTGCTTCTGGCACAGCTGCAGTTTCTCAGCCAACTGCTGATGCAAAGCCTTTCTCTGTTTCTCTTTTCTAGTTTTCTTAGCTACATATTTCTCCAGTTTCATTTCTTTCATTATCCGTTGTCACTTAGTTGTAACACTGTTGCTTTTTCAGCCTGATTTTTTTCTTCCATGGCTTTTTAGCAGTGAGAGATATGTGATGGCTAGATTCCATCTACCAGCCCACATGCAAGATGCCTTTGTTGTCTAGAACAGAAGTGTGTGCCTGTGCACTGTGCTATAAACCGGTGTTTAAGCCCTCAGATACATGTGGACAAGGAGCTGAAACTGTAGCAGTGCCCTTTGGAGGAAATTGTGGAGACTTCCTCAGATCCTTTTCACATGGGTTCTAGAGATCAGCATCTATATAACTATAAACTGTAACTGTCTGCACAAGAATCAGGAATGTTCAGAAGAATGAATTTCATCATTGTCACTTTCAGGTTTTATAGCTATCAACTTTCTTTTTTCCTTTTGAGTTACAACCATTGGCTTAATAAAGTGTGATCTACAATTTCTCATTCCACGAAGAAGCAAAACCTTCCTAACATGGTAGATTTTAGGACCTGTAAGACTAGGTGTCACAGCCAGGTTCTTCACTAGACACTGTTTTGGAATGTGCTTTGCCCTTTGAGTTTCCATGAGAAATTGTGCAGTCTGACCTTTATCAAACTTATGGCTGTGCTACATCTGATACACATGTAGGCAGGCAATCTCTGTGAGTGTGGATATCTTGTGGTTGAATTATTCTCTTTTTTGACAGAAGGATCTCTCCTTTGTTTTTAAAGGAGAGCATTAAAATTTCCTCCTGTATCCAAGTGAAGTTTACCATTGTCTGGGTTTGAATCAAGATTTGAAGTTCCTGCTCTCCCCTGCCTTGCCAAGATAGCTCTCATGTCAAGGTCTGCTTCCTCGTGAGCCAGTGGACTTAGTAGTCTGTCTTATTCCCTTTCCTGTCCATGTGAGCTTGGGAATTCATTTCAGTCCTTATTTCATTGTGCAGCTTTTAAGAAAATAGAGGTATTGGGTAAAGGAGAAAAGGTAAGTGATAGGGACTGATTCTGAGGGGAAGTCAGAAGGAGTGAGGACACAACAATACAATGAGCTCCACAAGTCTCAGACTGTCTGAAAGAAAGAAAGAAAGAAAGGAAGGAAGGAAGGAAGGAAGGAAGGAAGGAAGGAAGGAAGGAAGGAAGAAAGAGAGGAAATTTTCATCTGTACTTGTATTTCTGCAGGGTTTCCAGGTGCTGGTGGAGATGGAGTGGCTGGATTTTGGCCACAAGTTTGCCGATCGCTGTGGCCATGGTGAGAATTCGGATGACCTCAATGAGCGCTGCCCGGTGTTTTTGCAGTGGCTGGACTGCGTCCATCAGCTCCAGAGGCAGTTCCCCTGCTCTTTCGAGTTTAACGAAGCATTCCTTGTGAGTTGTGGCTTGAGAGCTTGCTGTTTTGTAGACTGCTCCTAACCCAGTACAAACATACTGAAGAGCCCTGAGGGGTTTCTGATTTTCCCATCTATCTGTGACAGGATATCTTCAGCCTGATAAAGGAAATGGGAAAGCTGCCCTGATGCAGCAGACAAAAATACTTGTATGCTTGTGGAGCCTGTGGTCTGTTCACTCTTAAAACAGAATCAGGGTCCTTAAGGGTTTCTTTTAAACTTTAAAGGATGAAACAAATGATATGAATTTAATCACTTCACTTAAGAGCTGAAATAAGCTCGGTGTAATACATCCACACAACATAAAATTGTTTACTGGCAGGATGAACTTCCCTTGAATTTGATCTCTTTGGATGTTGAAGACAAATCTTCTAAACACCCCTCCTCTTTACCTTTCCATTTGATTTTTCTTTGCTGAAAATGTACAGGATGTACCAGCTGTGTTTATTTTCTTTGGAAGGGGAGAGCTCTCTTATTAGAAATTTGCCTGGGAATGTCAAAGTCAGTTTTTAAGACCAGAATGTGAGTCTCTGAGAGGTGGACTCACTGCCTGCAGAACTAGTAACCTGAGGAATAAAGGTTTTTATGGAATGTCTGATCCACTTCAGATTTAAAGCACATTGCTGTGATTGTAGATGACTTGCATTACTGCTTGCCAGCTCGGCCATGTAACTGAGTTTATGTACAGTCCTAGCTTAGCTCAGTTGTGAAATAGGATACATGAGATTGTAACTGGCTCCCCTAGCTCACTGCTAATCGATGGGAGCTGTGTGTGAACATTACCCTTAATGTTCTCACTGCCTTACAGCAAAACCCCCAGTCTGTTTGTGCACAGCCACTGGGACTGTTGGGATTATTCAGGTACTTAAAGTTAGGTTCATGTTAAGCTGCTTGGTCAGGCGTTGAGCACAGTATGGAGTGAGTAATGATTAGGATGTATGCTGTGCACATCTATACTGACACAAATTAACACTTATTCCCACCATTCTTCGTCTTTCTGCTGCTGCATTAATGTTTTATAATTTCCCCTTAAGGTCTGTGAGTTTTAAATTAACAAGACTTTTATACATGAGTATGAACCACTACTTGTCTTTACATTTTGCAATTTTTCCTTGAGTTTTTAGTTATGATTATAAAAGATACCTCTATGTATAAATCCTTTTGCAATTAATTCATAAGGAGACACACAAAAAAAATCCAGGTTTGTTTATGTATCAGTCTTTGGGAAGAGGATGCATTGCCCTGTGAAGGAAAGGTTTCTTTTTTCTGAAGCATTCTTGCATTAAGCTGATGTCTTCTGCCATATGACTGTATCTGTATTGGTCTCTGCAGGTCAAATTGGTGCAGCACACCTACTCTTGCCTCTTTGGTACATTCCTGTGCAACAATGCGAAAGAAAGAGGAGAAAAACACACTCAGGAACGGACCTGTTCTGTCTGGTCTTTGCTGCGGGCAGCAAACAAAGCCTTCAAGAACCTGCTCTACTCCTCCCAGTCAGAATCTGTACGTATCCTTTCTTACTCACCTCATGGGAGAGTCTCTGTCTCTCAGGAGACTCTCAAATCTGGTGCTCTCAGAAGTGTGTCCCACAGTGCAATACTCAGCCTGTAGCAATGGGACATCATGCAGGTTCACTCACCGTGAGTACAGTGCAGGGATAGCACACCCTTCTGGAAACACCTCAGCTCTCCTCTTCGATATTTACAACTGGATGCTCTGTTCAGTTTTATGTTTCAGGTCCTGCATCAGATCTGCTTGTATTTGAGGAATGTCAGGTGCAACCTCAGAAATTTCTCTGTGCTGGAAACATATTTTCTGTAACTAACATTTCTGTGTTTGACAGATAGACCTTTCTAGAGAACTAAGCTGTGTCAGAGGAGTGTCATAAAATGACATACAAACCCAGACACTGTTTAGATTTAAGTTTAATATAGACAAAGAAAATGTAACTAGGCTCATTTGGCATATTTGTGTTTCTTGTAATAGTTTCACATTTTCACTCTGGCTCACTGAAGCTTCCCATCCAGGAAGGGCTTGCAGTTACTTTCTTTTGTATTTGATGGAAGGGCATTTAGAGCTGTGCTGTGGTAGGCATGGCATGTAAACAACCTGTCATCAGAGATCACGGTGAAAGGATGGCAAAGACTCTTATAAATATTTAAATGCTTTTTGTTAATGAAACATCAGATACCACAAACCTAACTGTAAGGGCTGTGCCGTGGTTTTGCATATGATGGATGCAGCTTATGGTTGTTTCTTAGAGGAAAATTAAAACTTGGCTTAGCAGGAAAGAATTTGTCTGCATTTGCCATAAAAGGATGAATTCAGTATTCACATCAGCAGCCCTCTATCTCTGCCCGTCTCCTCTGGACACCATGCCTGCAGCCTGTGCTCAGTCTGTGTGCAGATCCATCTGTCATGGTGACAGGCAGCATCACAGAGAGCCTTTCAAGACTTTCCAGCCTGGCGTTGCCATTAGCAGAGTGGGTGTGATAGCTGAAAGCATGAGGCACTGCAGATAAATACAGATCGTGAGGGCTTCTGGAGCTATGGGTGCATCTGAGTGCTCCCTGAGCACAGCAGTGAGTTTAGCCAGGAGAAGCTCAGAGCACTCTCAGCACAGGCAGTGCAGCCAGATACCTGCTCTGTCCCTGGGCTGCCTTTACCTGCTGCACTGCAGGTGGGGTAAGGTGACTTGGGCCGTGTTCCTGGTAAATGGCACACCATACTAAACTAACTGGGATAAATTGTGTGTTCTTAAGAGTTTTACTAATTTCCTATCTTGTATTCATTTCTTCCATGTTTTATTTCAGTGTTGAAAATGTGCCTCACTGATGTGACCACATCTGTTCTAAAACCGTGGTCATTAAGAGCAGCAGTCCTCAAACTGAGCTGCCCCACATCCTCCCTCTGAACCCCCTGGCTGCTCTGTGCTGCTCCCTGCTTTTCCTAAAGAAAGCTGCTTGCAAAAACAGTGAAATTGATAGAGAGACTCAAGGTGTTCTTAAATTGAAACACAACAGAAAGTTGTGTTTCCACAGTCAAGGAATCCCTTTCAAGAGAAGGCTGCCTGTTCAGCGGAAGTATTTCTACATGTACTTAATTTTTCACATGTGAGTGCTTCCTTAAAAGAGAGGGTTAGCTTTGATGAATTGGAGCCCTAGAAAGAGGCTGTGGGTTCAGCTGTCGTATGGCACACTGTAGTACAAGGCACAGGGAAAGCTCTGTTATGGGCTGCTGAATTCCTCTGCACTTTAAATTGCCCAGCAGCATTATTAAGGTGTAGATTCACACAGCGCACACGGCAGTAATTCATTCACGGGAAGTTGAAAGCCAGCATTGTTATGCCTCAAGCTCTCTCTCTGAAAGAGAAGATAATTACATATCCAAGTGTAGCTGATTAAAAGTGCCATAGCTGCTCACAGGCCTTCTGAACTATCTAGAGATCTGACACAGCCTCCCAGCTGCAAATCTGAATAATAACCCAGGACTATCCCAATCAGCTCTGAACACCTTTTTACACCCTGGGAGCAGGGTAAGTTGCAATTTCTGAATGATTGTGTGTGTTTTTCTCTCAGGTGCTGTACCCAGTGTGCCATGTGCGTAACTTAATGCTCTGGAGTGCTGTTTACCTGCCCTGTTCTTCCCCCTCTACACCTGCTGATGACACCTGTGCCCCATACCCTGTTCCAGGCTCTAGCCCTGAAGATCAGCCCCTGGGCAGGTGAGCCTAGAGCTCAGAAATCCCATCCTGTAAAGTAAGATCAATAGAGAATATTGTGGGATATTAAGAGGAGAATATTTGTGGGAGGGAAGTGTTTTTCACAGGTGTATTTGTGGGCTGTTTGACTCACTGACCAAAAGCAGTCTTTCCTTGTTTCAGGTTTGAAAGCTGTTAAGTTTCAGAGGTCAGAGCATAACAAATGTATGGAACCTGAGAGATTAGGAAATGAATTAAGCTGTGGGCATTGCCTGGCTTTGTTGGATCCTTTGTATTGTTGTTGAATATAAGCTTTTATTTGGCTGACTTGAATTTCAGTTCTTTTCCTGTTGCATAACTTTCTTTGCTTTGTTGTTTGGTTTTTTTTTGTGAAGTGATTCTTTGCACATGTTAATTAGGAGGTGTGACCAGACTGTAAGCATCTGTGCTTTGTGGTAAAGGGATCTGGGAATGTTTGAAGTCTGATTCAACAGATTTTCCTACTGGCAAACAGCAAAGTTCTGAAGCAGCTTTGCACTACAGATGGTCCAAATGTGCTCCTGGATAATACTGCACAGAAGTCCTAATTGTGGAGGGGAGGTTTTAAGCCATAGTAGATGAACTTAAAAACAAACAAACAAACAAACAAAAAAAACAACCCTGACTTTGGATTCTGATTGTCTGTACTTGTGTAGGTTACCAAAGACAAGATCCTTTGACAATCTGACGACAGCCTGTGACAGCAGTGTGCCTACAACCAACCGGCGTAGCAGTGACCCCAGCCTGAATGAGAAGTGGCAGGAGCACCGCAGGTCCCTGGAGCTGAGCAGCCTTGGGAACCCTGGGGATGATCCGTTTGATGGGGATGGCCTGAGCAAGCAGGGCAGGGCTCTGATGGGAGCAGAGCTTTCTGTAGCAGCCGGTGTGGCGGAGGGACAGATGGAGAACATTTTGCAGGAGGCCACTAAAGAGGATGTCATTCTGGAGGAGCACTTAAGGGGCAGCCTAGAGACTGCAGGTAAAGGGGATGAGATTGCCTTGGATAAGGAGAAGAGAACTGAAAATCTACACGGCTATGTCAGTGAACTGTGTGAAAAGGCTGAGGATAAAGGTATGGTAATGAACAATCCATGTCCGCTTTCACAAGGTGCTTGTGAGCTTAAAGGACACCAGGAGGAGCACACTGATCTCAGTAACACTATCCAGAAGTTACCTCAGGTGAAAGGACTACAGACTGTTCCTTTGGAGAGTTTTGTAAATAGAGACACTCAAAAGAATGTGGAGGAAGGTGTGGGCAAGCCTGAAGGAGAAGGAGAAACCCTGCACAGCGTATCACATGCCGGCCTTCTGTTACCTCTTACAAGCCTGCAGGAGGTGAGAACATCCAACATCGAGAGTTCTACAGAGACCTTAACAGAGAATGAAGCAAAGCAAGAGCTGATTCCCAAGGGCCCGTGCCACAGAGCCCATCTGATGGACAACAGTGCTGACGAGCTTTCTCGAATTATTGAAAACAGGCCAGAAGGGGAGAGCATGATAGAACTTCAGAAACTGGGCACAAAAGTACACAGGACTTCTGGTAGCGGCAGCACACGCATCCCAATGCCTTCCCCTTGTGCCTTGCCTTTAGGTGAATGTAAAGATGAGGTTGTGTGTAACGGAGAGCTGGAGCCTGAGAACAAGATGACAGAGAAGCCTGCAGGGTTTGGCATCGTGCAGAAATACCAGGCAACAAACGGGCACTGTGTGAACGGGGAGGATGGGAGGATGAAGATCTCTCTGAGCCGGCAGGTCTCCGCAGCGAGCTGCAGCTCTGCACAGTTTCACTTGAGGAACCTGCACCAGAAATGGGTGATGACTCATCTCGGGAAGCAGCAGGCGGCCGGCAGCCCAGACCAACCTGCCAGGAGCCACCTGGATGATGATGGGATGCCTGTCTACACCGATGTCATCCAGCAGCGCCTGCGCCAGATTGAAACTGGGCATCAGCAGGAGGTGGAGACCTTGAAGAAGCAACTGCAGGAGCTGAAAAGCCGGCTGGAAAGCCAGTTCCTCAACAGCTCCTTGCGTCTCAATGGTGATTTTGGAGACGAAGTGGTAAGTGAGGTGGTGACTGGCCACTGCTGGAAACGGTGGGCTACTGATGTCTGCATCTCCCCTTATAGGCAGCCCGTGGTTCTTTGGTCAGGCAGGGATTTTTGTGGCCCTACAGGGTTTTGTAGAACCCTTGGGGTCTTTCTGAGAAGGAGCAAGCAGATAATCAGAGTACTTAATGAGCAGCATTACTGGTGATGAATATTTTCGCTGTATTTCAGGTTGACCAAGCAAATAGCAGAGGTTTACTTCAAGCAGCATGTTTCACAGTGCGTTTGCATCTAGCTGGGCATACTTAGATACCTGCATTGGCCTTACTCAAAAACCCACATTTACCTTTGTTTTCATACATGGGAGGGACGTTTTTCTAAGGATGTCAGTGTCGTTTATTGGGGCAGGAATGCAGCTCTGATCCCTTGGTGCTTTGCATGCTGAGGGTTGGAGAGGTGCAGCAGTGGTTGCTCTTTTAGCTCAAAGCCAAGAATTGGAAGCCAGGTAAAATAAAAGAAGGGAGAGCTGTGAGGACACAGGAGGAGGAGGCAGGGGGCACGAGAAGGGAGGTGAGGACATGCAGGAGAGTCTTTAGGTGTGTTCACACAGTGTTGGCCTGGAGTTCCCAGGTTGGTGCAATACTCATGAAAAATTTCCTACGTACACATTTAATTTGCTTTATGTGTCTGCAAAACTGGGAGAGGGAAGGGTATTTTGAAGAGCTTTCCAACTTTAGCTTGTTTAGTTTTCTGTTGTGCAGAAGTGGCAGAGGTGCTGGACAGTCCCAGGGGCATCTGTTGAGAAAAATGCTCAGGACCTTCTTGGCTGTTATGTCTGAGAGAACAACAGCCAGTGCTCCTTCTGAGCATCCATCTCAGCTGAGTCTCACTGGGATTGGATGTGGCTTTGATTCCTTGGAGAGATGCTAAGTTTTGGCTTAGTTGTACTGCATTGTGTAAGGGCCTTCACCAGCCAAAGTGTGGGGCTGGGATGTTTTCTGGTGTCACTTGTTTTAAAATCTGATCTCTGCTTTCTGTTTTTGCCTCATCTGGCAGTAGGAGGGCTGTCTTTGTAAATCCAGAGGTGCTCAGGCACAAAACTATGTAAGATTTTTTTTCCCCATAGTTTTATTTAAGCCAGTTAAACTGCAGTGCTGCCAGACCAGACTATCATAAGCAGCCTTATTCCCCCAGTACAGGTGGCTCAGATGCTGAGTTTCCCATGAGTGATTCTGCATGTATCTTCCAGATCTTTTTCAGATAAAGGGCATGTGTGCACCACCAGTATTTGTTTCAAAAATGAAAGAGCCTTGAAAAAGAAACAGCTATGAGGTTGGAGCCACAGATAGTAGCTTTTTGGTTACTCACTCCAAGTGTTGCCAGAACTTTATGCTAGCACAGGAGAAAATGGATTTGAAATCCACTCTACCTCACGTCAGAGGGCCAAAACCTGACCTGGTGGATTTCCTTTTGTGTGCAGCTCACCTCTCACAAACTGCTTCAGCTTACACCATTTAGTCCCACTCAGTGCTGGTTTGCCTCTGCTGTCACACGGGGAGCTGGCAGGTGTTGGCAGCCTCCCTCGCCATGCAGACACAGCCTGCTCTTCCTCAGCAGGAGGTTCCCTCCCCACTGCTCCCCACAACTGGCCAACTTTGATTTGTGTGGAAGAAGGATTATGGGATAGTTCTGTTCAGCTGTGTTTGTTTGCCAACAGACTTCTATACCCGACTCGGAAAGCAATCTGGATCAGAACTGCTTGTCTCGCTGCAGCACAGAGATTTTCTCTGAAGCCAGCTGGGAGCAGGTGGACAAACAGGACACAGAGGTACAGACTGAATCCCTTCAGATCACTTACTCTTCTGGTAGGATGGGATGTTCATCATCACTCAAATTATCCCACACCCTGTGGTCATATGCCACCTCTTGTGAGTGATCTTCTGCACGTTTCACTCATCTCCTGCTCTGAGTGTCAGTGTCTGTGCACCCTCAGCTGTCAGTGGGCACTTCATGGAGCTGGGGCTGAGCTGAGGGAACATGGTGAAGCCTCACAGCCTGGACACCTCTAGAACACAGAGAGCAGCAGGAAGCTGGACTTCATGACTTCCTTTGTCTGTCTGAGGGCAGTTTAGGACGTCGGTTCTCAAGGGGAAAGTTTTGGTGTCTTTCAGTGTTGTGAACACTGAGTTTCTGCTTTTAAATAGAACAGGCTTTGCTTGGGCTGTGTGAGCTGAGATGTGATGGGTTTGTTGCTAGCTAACCTGACAGGTTTGTCTTCTCCTTGTTGCAGGTGACACGATGGCTTCCCGACCACCTGGCCGCACACTGCTATGGCTGTGACAGCACGTTCTGGCTCGCCAGCAGGAAGCACCACTGCAGGTACCCTGAGCAGCAGGGTGGGGGGGGGCAAGGCCAGCACTTGGATCTTCCCTTTGCTCTTCAGCCAGGAAGGGCTTCATTTTGCTGTGAAGTTCCTTAGTGAAGGATGGGTGTTGGAATAGGAGTGTGAGCTCCTGCAGGAACCAAGGGCTCTGAGACAACAGGACAACTTCTGTTCAGCTCCAGTTCACTGCATCTATATATGAAAAGCCACATTTGGTATCTGTTATGCCGTGGCCTAGATGGATCCCAGCGTTTTCTCTCGAGCTGGGTTTGGAGACAGCTGACTCTTTAGCTGATGAAAAGGATTTAAAAATTACTAGTGTGTCTCCTTTGCATTCAGTAGAGGCCTTTGGATTAGATTGCTTTGGAAATCTGAAATTCTGTCTTAGTTTTATTTCAAATAAATCCCTATTCCCGTTTTCTGGCCATGAGAAAATGATTACAAAAACTGTCATTGAAATAAATGGCAGTTATCATGTTCTGATGCTTCAGTGCTTTTTGAAGTAGTGAAGAATTGAAAGCATCCTGTGCCCTCTGTACTTCACTTCACTTAAAATTCTTACAAAAATAAACCAGGGAAGAATGAATGAGGAGTTGAATGAGATGGATTTTTTTTTTCAAGTTTCATATCCACTGTGTTGCAAATGTAATTGCTAAGCATAGTTATACACACCTGAGGGGTTTTATAAGAGTTAAAAGAACATTTTCACGTGTCTCTTTTCTAGTGGTATCTGTGGTGAAGTGCCCCCATCCATCACTGTCTCCCTGCCCATGGCTGCCCTAGGCCTGCTGGCACTTAGCAGCCACATTGCAGTTTTGCAGGCCTGGACTCTGGGGAACTCCCAGAGCACCTGTGCAATCTGAACACCTCCAGCACCACCAGGAGTTGAGATTGATGCAGGTTTTCGAGTTCTGTTACAGGTTTCCCTTTGGTGTCTTTGTTCTGTACTCTCCAATGCCTGACGTAGGTTGACCAGGCTGTCCATGTGAGCTCTCATTGGTAGGGACCAGTAAGGGCTGCCATTCTAACCAACAAGGAAACCAAGTATTTGCCTTGTGTACGTTGTTACAAAGCACAGTGACCAGTGTGAGTCTGCTCACCAGCTTATTTGAGAGTGAGAATGGGTTGAGAAGCACATTTCCAACTTGAACAGGATAAAAGTATCCAGCTTCCTTCATTGCCACTGTTTGCTTCTGTTGCTGTTCCCCTCTGAGCTCTCTCTTCCCTCCTTGCAGGGACTCTGAACGTGTTGATCAGATCTGGTGAGCATTTACAGCAGCCTCTGTCTGTTGTCTGTCTGCATTTCCTTTGTAACTTCTCCAAACTAACTCAGGCTCCTCCCCCTGTTTTTCACCTGGCTGGAAAGCACCAGAAATAAGCTGTGGGTGGCTGGCACGACCTGGTGGATGTTGAGATTGATACAAACAGGCTTCTCTTTCCACAGGAGGCACTGAGGCTTGGTTTGTGGTAGCTGAAACTGTGGTGTGGATTACACTAACTGTCACCATCAGCAAGTGGTGTGTTTGAGTAACAGAGAATGCTGCAGTGCTAACTGGGAAGAGGTTAACCTTCAAGTTTAGCCATCGTGCATTTATCTCTTAGTTTTGATTCTTTCCCTTTTTGCATTAATTCTGGGAGATGTCAACGTGTTAGCAAGCCATGCAAGCATGTAAATGTTGATGAAAAAGATCTGACACTGATTTTGGAGGGACTGTGGCAATAAGAGGTAATGCAGGGCTGGGAGAGAGGTGGTGTCTCACAAAATGGGTGAACATGGATAATAATGTGTAATAATATACAAGGAGGTCTTGGTGGTGTGATTTTAACAGTCACCTGCCCTCCAAGGGGAGAGATCCATGTTCTTAACATCTCTTGATCCCTCGAGCACAGCAGAGGGGTGCAAGAAAGCTGCTCAGGGCAAAGCAGTTCTAGAATGCTGTCCTCTCTCACAGAAAGATAAAAGGACAAAGAACAAGTGTTGTGTTAGGAAGCTGGTGGTGGGCTACAACAGGCAGATAATGGTTCCAGTCCCTCTGGTTGTTTGTGACCTGATCCATCTGCAGTGAGTTTCTGTGGATAACTGCTCTTTGAACAGCAGCAATGGGAGCTGACAGCGGCTTTCCTGCACAGATAACACCTCGTGAGTTGGTTTCTCTGCTGCTGGCTTTTCTAGTAGTAATTTCTGACAGATTCCTGAAGGCTTCCAGCCCACAACCCCAAGCTGGCCATCATGATGTTCTGGTGCTCAGGTTGTGGCATTAAGGTCTGCAGCTGCTGCGCAGAGCTGCAAAAGTCAGCCTGCTGAAGTGGGAAATGGGATTTCTCTGCTGACTGTTTCCCATCAGTGCCCAGCATCTGGGAACCCCATCTCTTGGCAGTGAAGGATTAATTGAAGCTGCTGGGTGTAAGCAGAGCTTTCTGTCACTCTTGGCAGCAGCAGATCTTTCCCAGCACAAATCTATGGTGGCATAAAGTCCCGATGCCAAAGAATTAATGAGAAGGGTGCAGGGCCTGGAGGTGAATGGCAAACTGCAGGGCTGTGGTGTGAGCCCTTAGCAGCCTGCTGAGGTGTGCAGCATGCAGGGAGGGCTGCAGGAGCAGCAGGTAATGCTTCCCACACTTCAGCCTAACCCTGTGAGCTGCATGCAATGGGTGCCCAGCAGCTGGCAGGAGTGCATCCCTGCAGCACAGCCTGAGCATGGCGCTGTGCACTGCATGGTCCTTGCTGACAGCATTCCTGTGTGCAGAAGTGTGGGATGCTGGGAACGTGGCAGGGCAGCACAGCTGGGAGGATTGCATCACCTGTGCTGGTTTTTTTGTCTGTTCTGGGCTGAACCTTTCCAGCAGCGCACTTGAAAGAAGAGCAGTGACTGTGTGGATGTCACTGCGCACTGTGGCTTCCCTCACACTCCTGTCTGGTGTCGAGCTCTGCAGGGAAGGCTGTCTGTGTGTCGTGGTGCTTAGGGACAAACAGCCTCCAGAGCCGAGCCCACCACAGCACCACAAGTAGTATAACTTTACAACTGGGTAACTTTATCAAACTGCTGCTAATTTTGTCTTTTCCATTTCTCCTCTGTTCCTGACACAAGGAATTGCGGAAACGTGTTCTGCTCCAGCTGCTGTAACCAGAAGGTGCCAGTTCCCAGCCAGCAGCTCTTTGAGCCCAGCAGAGTCTGCAAATCGTGCTACAGCAGCTTGCACCCGAGCAGCACCAGCCTTGATCTTGAACTGGACAAACCCATCACTGCCACATCAAACTAAAGGCCCACCTGGGAGGCGGGGCCCTTCCCCGGGCAGAGCTGTGTGATCTCAGTGGGCTGAGACTGGAAGGACGAGGGGGCGAGGAGTGCTGCTCAGTGGGACGGAGCTCAGCCGTGCTGTGCTGCTGCAGTGTGGGCATCTCCTCTTCCAGCCGTTCCCCTTTCCTTTCTGTCCCGTTCGTGTGTGTGTGTGCGTGTACGCGCCTGTGTGTATATATATAATAATATATATATGTTTGCTTGTTTGCTGGAAGATTGTACAAGCGGGAAGGGAGCTGGCACCAGAACCAGATTTCCCTTTTGTATTTCACTGTCCCACTGCTGACCTGCGTTGCAGACAATTCGATGGAGGAAAGGAGATGAGGGGGATCGGCGCAGTCGGTGTGCAAGGTGAATCGCTGTAGCCTCAGCGCTAGTGCTTTCAATCACTCCTGTTACTTCCAAACAAGAAACTGCTGTTTGGGAATTTGTTGCTGCTAGAAGAAGTGGGAATCTCTTTCCCAAGAGAGCACTCTCCCTCTCTGTTCTTAGAGTGGGCTTAGCTGTCCTCGCTGCATGAAGGGGATCGCAGGCTCTGCTGCGGCAGCCCCGCGGTGCTGACTGGGGACAGCTGGGCAGTGCTGGCTGCAGGAGGTGCCCGGTGTTGGTGAGAGGTGATGAGGGGCCGAGCTTGGTGTCACACCGACACCTCTCTCTGAAGTTGTGTAAATGCAGTTCCTTATTTAAAACCAAGTGGGAAAGTAGCAGCCCTCTGATTTGTGTCCTTGTCCCACCGTAGGTTGTTTTGCTCAGCGCAGAGCTCCTTATCACAGCTCCCTCTGCAGCCACGGCCCTGCTGCTCCCGCTGCACTTCAGTGAGGGCACTCAGAGCAGCAGCACTTCCAGCTGTGCTGCACTGCACTCCTGCTGCGTTTGGTCCCACAGGAATGCACTGTGCTGCAGCGTTCTGCCACGGCTGCTCCTTTTCCAGTGTGCTCCAGCTAGGAAGGACCTGCCTGAGGATTATACCAGGGCTGTCACAGTACATCGTGATTCCCCTCCTTCCTTCTGCCCCAGCCTGAGTTGCTTTCCGAGTCACCTCAATAAAGTGTGGATCTCTTCAATATATGTTTTTAACTGAGTGGTAGGTCCTCGGCCCCTTCTCCCTTTTGATAGAGCAGTGTTGCTCAGTGCAGCTGGGCAGGAGGATGCATCTGGTCATGTCATGCTCTGCAGCACGCTGCCTGGCCAGGCTTACATCTCCTGCACTGTTCTGTAGGACAGAACAATCCTGTTGAGTATCTGAGAGCTGAAAGAAATAACGAACAATCGTTGGGAAGGGAGCACTGCCCTTCCCTGCAGCGTCACAATCGTGGTCTGCAGTGTCAGACAGAGACCATCTCATTAAGTCTGGTGGGGAAAAAAATGACACAGAACTTCCCGTGCCGGCACTGCTGTGCTCTGAGCTGAGGCTGCATGGACAGAAATGAAGGCGTGGGGGCTGTGCTGGCACAGGGAAGGGGCCTGGGAGCAGCAGGAGAGAAAAGCAAAGAAAAAGCTGGGTTCTCCCATGGAGTTTTTATCTGTTTTCTCCTGAACCAACGCAGCGATGTGCGGGCAGAGCTGTGGGTGCTGCAGTTGGATGTGAAGCAGAGGCTGTGAGACAACAGCGGTGTGCGGTGCGTCAGAAACACGCGTGGGGTTCTGCAGTTGTAAGGACAGGTGCCAAGAGGTTTGATACGGGTTTCTGGGCTCTGTGATGTACAGTGTGAATAAATGCTTGCAGCTCTTAGTCTTTTTTTGATCGACGAAGCACTTTTTTATTAATATTATTTTTTCTTTGTATGTAAAGGAGGAAGCAGTATCTCTCCATAGCTGTACATATAACCTGTCTCTCCTACAGAGAGTAAAGTGCTCCTATATTTTTCATTTTTGTCAAAGCGAGAAGTAAATACTTTAGAATTGTTAAATATATAAATAAAAGTGAATAAAGTTTAGCATTTTTGCATGGGAGCATTCGCTAACACACGTTCCAGTTCTTTACCTTTCCTTCCTGCCCTCCAGCGGGGCAGCAGCAGGGGAGGACACACAGCAGTGCAGTGCTGGGGCAGCAGGGCTGGGGAGAGTCAGCCTCCTTTGGTTTCTTGGTTTTCTCCCCCTGTAACTCAGCCCCTCCTTCAGAGCGTGCTGCCTCTCTTGCCTTTGGAAGAGGGGATTTTCCACTTCCCCCCCTGCAGGATCATTGCTTTGCTCTCACACAACCCTGCGTGCTGGGTGACCTCACGGCTGGGGCTGGTATTTACAGTTTGAAGAATGAAATAAAGCAACTTTAAGGTTGTGCGCTGTTACAAACATGCAGAGGAGCAGCGGGTTTTCGATTACACGCCAGGATCTGATTTTATGGAGCTCCTTTTGTACACGAGTCGCTCCTCAGTGCTTCTGTGCAGCTCATCCCAGCAGCTGGGAGCCCTGTGCTGTGCCACCTCAGGAGCACTGAGCGCAGCCCCGGCTGTGCTGGAGGAGCAGTGACTGCAGAGCTGTTTCCTGCTGGTTGGTGGGGCACAGCACGCAGGTGAGGCTGAGCTGAGCGGCAGCACGCAGCACTCAGCCAGGTGTTTGCTTTGGTGGAGCAGTGTGGGATTCCAGTCTCAAACTTGCGTCAGAACTGATGTCAGCATCAATTGCAGCATCGCTGTGACACACATAGGAAATGAATAAGCTTTCTGGAGGTCAGAAATTATTTTTCTTTAATATCAGTACTGACATGTCCAGCCTTGGTGGAATTTGAGTGATGTGGTGGATGTGATTTATTTCCTCCCAGGCTGTTACAGAGCAGCACTGGGCAGCAGTGCTGCCTTTGATGCGCAGTGGGTGACTTTTTGTTGCCCATCTCTGCTGCCCGTGGAGCTGAGTGAGCAGGGAGGAGGCGTCCAACAAGGAGCACTGCAGCAAAGCTTTGGGTGATCTTTAAGTACAGCAGAGCTGCACTGGGACAGGGGAGAAAGAAAGAACCAAAAGCACGACTTAACCAAGCAGTGACCACTGATGGGTTCTGTGATGGCAGGTGGGCAGTGAGGTGAGCAACTTCTGGTCAGAAAGACGTTTCATCCAGGTGCTGAGTTGGGCAGCGTGAGCCATGGCTGCAGCTCCTGTGGAGGCACCACCAAGAAAACGCCATCAGAGCACAGGCAGCACTGGAGAGCAGCTCTGTGAATGAGAAAAAACAAAGGTTTTCTCTTATAAATCTAAATAATTTCAGTTTTTCATTGCTTTTCTTTATAAGGAACGTCAGTACTCAGAGAGCTGCTGCTTCAAGTCATTGTCTGCATCTGATAATGACTGGATCACTCAGCATTTGCCTAAAACACAGTAAGAGCATCCCAACATCTCCCACTGGCTGCATCTGCACCGGCAGAAACTCAGCACCAGGTGGTGCAGAGATGGGTTTGGTTCAGAGGGCTCTGCTGTGTGCCCTGATTGCAGCATCGTGCCTGCAGCTCCCTGAGGTGGCTCTGGGACTGCTTCCTGCACGGCCATAGAGCCTAAGGAACAGCGCTGGCTTCTGATCAAAGCGCTCAGCAAACCGAGCCAGCGTGTGGCAGGTTTGGGCTGGCTCTGTTTGACACCTTGATGATCTGCATGAGGGGATTGCGAGACCATCAGGAAGTCTGGAGGTGACACCATGCTGGGAGGAAGTACAGATCTGCCTGAGGGCAGGAAGGCCCTGCAGGGAACACGCTGGGACCTTGAAGTGTGTCCTGAGAAGGACTGTGAGGCTGTGCAGGGTCTGGATGCATTGAGTTCTTACAGGGAGTGAGGGAGCTGGGATGGCTCAGTCTAAAGAAAAAAAGGCTCAGGGGAGACATTATTGCTGCAGCTCCTGAAAGGAGGTTGTGGTGAGGTGGGGATCGGCCTCTGCTCCTGGATAACAGCAATAGGACGAGAGGTGGTGGCCTCACGTTGCACCATGGGAGGTTCGGGGTGGATATTAGGAACAATTTCTTCTCCAAGAGTGGTGATGCAGTGGCAGAGGCTGCCCAGGGAGTGGGGGGGTCACCATTCCTGGAGGTGTTGAGGAACCATTGGGGATGTGGTGCTGAGGGACACAACCAGTGGGCGGGGGTTGGGCTTGGAGATCTTAGTGGTCCTTTCCAACCTTCATGATTCTATAAGTGGGGCTGATGTTATTTCAAAGCTGCACCAGTGCTCTGGATCTGAACACTTGTGCAGACCCAGCTACTGCTGCCCTGGAGATGGAAATACTTCTGTTCAGCACCAACCCGCATCAGGAGCTCACCGTGCTCCCTGCAGCCCGCCTCGGATGCAACACAACGTCCTGCACTCTGCATCTGCAGAGGTCCCTGAGCGTCTCCCTGTTACCTGTCTGAGTCACAGCCTGCGGGGCTGCCGGCGTACACCAGGGCGCTGTCCAGGGACGATTCCTCGGCGCTGTAGCTGCCATTCCCCAGCTCTGCAGCCACGGGGCAGAGTTCCTGCCTGCACCACCTGAACAGAGAACGCGGCGGTCTGTGCGAGCCGTGCTGCACACACGGCGCTGGCTGCTCCCGAGGGTCTCCCCAAGTTGGATGATTCTCATCGCTGTTGGGGTGGAGGTTCCCCGTGCAGGGAATGGCAGCGATGCTGCTGGGAACCAACCCAGAAGGCTGTTTGTCTCCAGCCGGGGTGTGAAGTTGCGGTCTGACCGCAGCAGATCACACGTGCGGGCAGAGCAATGCCGCAGTACGAGAGATCACCTGAAGTGGTCGGAGTGGCTTACCTCTGAGCAGCACAGACATCAACGCAGGAGGAGCCGGGCCGAGCCGCGTGCTCAATGAGCAGAGCTCCTGTGAAAGAACACGGCACGTAAGGGCTGCTGGGCTTCAGGGTGGCTGAGCTTCTCAGCAGCGCTTCCCGTGCTGAGCTGCCACCGCCGGAAAGGAGGAGGGACAGCAGCCTGAGCAGCCTGGCTGAGCTGTGGGTGTCCCTGTCTGCTGTGGGGGAGTGGGACCAGACGGCCTTTAAAGGTCCCTTCCAACTCAAACTGTTCTGTGATTGTACGACAGAGCTTTCTTTAAAACTCCGCTCCTGAGCTGGAGCGAGGCCTGGGAACAGCAGGACTGCTCGCAGCCCTCCCTGGTCTGAAATTCACTTCTGTCCTTCCTACCTGCGTAGATCCTTGCTAGGGAGTAGGAGAAGTCTCTTGCTGCCAGCTCCATGGGCACTGCCCCTTCTGAAGCAGCTCCTTGGCAGAACCGTGCGAGGCGGCCGGCAGCATCCTGCACCCACTGCACTGCGGGCTGCAGCTCTGCGCTGCTCGAAGCCAACTCCAGTTTGTTCTGCAAAACAATCACAGGGAAAAGGACGGCGTGTTGACCGCCTGCATGGCAGCGAGGCCAATGAGGGGACGGCTCCGAGCACCCGAAGGGGCTGTGGGTGTCCCTGCTCATTGCAGGGAGTGGGACCAGGTGGCCCTTCAAGTGCTTTCCAACTGAAACGAGGCCCTCGGGTGCTGTGCTGCACCTCTGCAGGTTCGCATCTCTCCCTGCAGCAAGGCTGAGGGTTGCCTTGGACAGAAGTGCAAGCAGGAACAAGTTTGGATTTACGCAGCAGAAAGCTCTTTTTGTGATTCAGTCTCCTTTGAGGCCATTTATGAACCGACACCTGTCAGTACCTGCAGTGTCGGTGCTGTTCCCCACCAGCACACCAAAGCAGCAGTGCTCAGCTGTGCAGCCAAACCCTGTTTTGTTTCCTGTAATGCTCCTACAAACAACACCCCCTGCCCACGCTGCCCTGTGCTGTCTGACTGCTCCTACAAGGACAGCACAATCCTCACTGGTGCTGTTCTGTGCTCGAGGCAAAGCAGTACAAGAACACTCACAGGATGTGCTGTACGAATACAAAAACCCCCTCATTAAAGCGGGCATCCAAGTGCCAAGACAAAGTCCAAAGAACCCTCCGAGCCCACAGAATGCCAATGAGGTGGTTTAAAAATGGATCAAAGTCCCCAGGGGCACAAACAATATCCCCAGCAGCTTGGGTGGGAGCCAGCACTGCACTGTGCTGGGCTGCAAACAGACACAGCCCACGCTGCCCTGGGTGTGCTCCCCAAGCTAGCTGCCATGCAGGATTGTCTGAGTGGTTTTCAACAGCACGGCGATCAGCAGCAACGTGGAGAACATCAGAATGGGGCTGGAAGCACAAGTGTCATCTTTGTATTTTGTGGACTCTCACTTCAGTAAGCTGCACTGATTTCTTGCTGTGCTGAAGTGGTTTGGAAAGGACCTGAAACTGTCACCATACAGTCCAAACTCTGCAGACCCCTGCATCGTGTGTCCCAGTCCCAGCTGGTTTCAATCAGCATAAGCCTGTAGAGGCCAGCTTCTTTCCAGGCCATTTTTAGAGCCTACCACCCTCTCCTCCACTCCATTGCCTTCAGTGTCAGACTGAACTGCTTGTTAATTAGTGGGTATGCTCATTAATCCTGCTTATGAGCAGATCTGGCTTTCTTGTTTGGTAGTCAAATTGTTTGAGGTATTTTTCCATCAACAGAAGTTATATGAGAGGATGGTAAGGACTCGTGTTGGAGGTCAGTGCCCACCTGCAGCCCCTGCTGAGCAGTCAGGCTCTGGTTAATGCGTTTGGGAGCTCCTGGGGGATGGATCAGATCACCTTCAGGATACAGCAGAGCCTACAACACGAGGTTATGTTTAATGCCATGCTCTGCACCGCGCTCCTCTCCCTGCATTCACTTCACATCTCCCTTCTGCTGAAGTTGTGCTGAATGGAGACCACAAAGGTATCACCTCTGCTCTGTGCCCCAAAAGCAAACTCTGAAGGCAGAGAAGCAGCCCAGAACTCTCAGTTCTCATGGGGGATGAGAAAGCAGTGTCTGCAGGTACTGAATTCCAGCAGCCCAGGATTCCTAAGCATACACTGTGCTAATGTGATCTGAATGGCTCTACCTCAATTAGTAATCTAATTCCTGAGGGAATATCCTCTGATATGGTGATCATGCCTTCCAGGCTGGTTTGTGCACCCCTCGATGGCATGGATCAAGCCAGATGATTCTCATTTATCTTCGGGAAATTCTGAGCTTCTTTGAACTCTCCATGGCTGCCTTTGCCTGAGCACCTTTAAAGGAACAGCCTGTGGGTAAGGGCAGGGAGCTGCGCTTCTAAGGAGGCAGCAGTGGGATTCCTTTGGCTCTTTCCATCTTTTCAGTGGGAATAAAAATAGAAAGTCATAATGCAGTAGGTGGCCCTAGAGAAGGTTTTGTATTTATCAGGCTTGTGCTGCTTTTCCAGCTTAAAGAAAAACAACAGAGCAAAACAAAAAAACCCCCCACAAAATAATTTTAGGCTCAGGAAGGTGACTCACATTAAAAATGTACTTACACTGGTGCCTTTCTTGAAGAGCACTGACAGTGCACAGCTCCTCATTGTAGAGATGAAATTGTCTGCATTTTTTGCAGCACACAAGGATCCCAAAATAAACACTGCCTGTGTTCTGCTTTTGTAAGTGCTATTTAAAAAGCAGATTTGTGAAACACCTTCAGAGTCTTGTCTAAAGCCTTGAGTTTGTCACGTTCTCTAGCAGTCTCAGCCAGGAGCACCAACACCAAGACTGCCAAAGTGTCAAACCAGGCTTACTGGTGCTTGGCTCACCTGCACTGTGGAGAAGAACACGGCCATCACCTGCCCCTGACTCTTGGTGAGGGACCTCAGGACATCAAGAGATAGGACATTCGTTGTTCCTTCCCATATGGACAGCACCTGCATGATAGAATCACAGAATCACAGAACTGTAGGGGTTGGAAGGGACCTCCAGAGATCATCGAGTCCAACCCTCTGCCAAAGCAGGATCCCTACACCAGGTCGCACAGGTAGGCGTCCAGGCAGGTCTTGAACATCTCCAGAGAAGGAGACTCCACCACCTCCCTGGGCAGCCTGTTCCAGTGCTCCGTCACCTCACCTAAAGAACTTCTTGCGCACATTGGTGCGGAACTTCCTGTGCTCCAGCTTCTGGCCATTTCCCCTTGTCCTGTCTCTGCACACTGCTGAAAACAGTCTGGCCTCGCCGCTTTGCCCCCCACACCTTAGATATTTATAGACCTGGATCAGGTCCCCTCTCAGTCTTCTCTTCTCAAGGCTAAACAGGCCCAGCTCACTCAGCCTTTCCTCATAGGGGAGATGCTCCAGGCCCTTCACCATCTTTGTGGCCCTCCGCTGGACTCTTTCCAAGAGATCCCTGTCTTTTTTGTACTGAGGAGCCCAGAACTGGACACAGTACTCCAGATGAGGCCTTACCAGGGCAGAGTAGAGGGGGAGGATCACCTCCCTCGACCTGCTGGCCACGCTCTTTTTAATGCACCCCAGAATGCCATTGGCCTTTTTGGCCACAAGGGCACACTGCTGGCTCATGGCCAACCTGTCGTCCACCAGGACACCCAGGTCCCTCTCCGCAGAGCTCCTCAAAAAATCAGCCTACAGCACCCGGTATTCCCAGGAGGTCTCCCATCCAAGTACTAACCAGGCCCAACCCTGCTTAGCTTCCGAGATCGGATGAGATCGGGCGTTGCCAGGGTGGGATGGCCGTAGGCAAGAAGAAGAGATTGTGGGAGAGCACAAAGGAGCTGTCTGAGGCTACTGCAGTAAAGAACAGCAAACATGAGGCTACAGAGGTATGGACAGAGTTATAGGAGATCGAGAAAGTCTCCAGAGATTTCATGCCTGACCGCAAGTGGAAAGAAGCACTGGTGAGGAGAGCTAGGGAAGTTTGGGGATGTATGCTGAGTCACGGCCTGAAGCACTGACGGAGCACCTGGGGAAAGGAGCCCTGGGAGCACAGGTGAAGGCAATTCAGCTGTGTGATGGGAAGGGATGG